ATTATGTTATAGCATGTCATTCTTATGTCTGACACTCTACAAGTCTACAGTTCGAGCTCCTTTAGCAGAAGTAATTTCAGTCATTTCTGCGAGCTTTTGTGAGCAATTACGAAACTGTAATATGCTTCGAACCTTCTGGATATTTAACCAAAAACGTATCTTGACGTGCAGGTGGAACAACAAAAATTGAAAGACAATTATGTACGAAAACCTACACTAATGTGCTTTCTGAAAGAAAGATTCAGATTATGTTGAAAAAAAAACACCTCAGTAAGCTTCTTGACAGGAAGAGTATAGCAAAGACAACGTTTTTTCCCAATACAATCAATCATATCTTCGTGGGTGCTTTATTTGAAAATATCAGAATTGGACCTTTTTCGGTAAAATGCAATTTTTGTCTTCATAATTAAAAGCGTTTATTTTTTACGATTACGCTTTATTGTTTTATGCTTGGTGAGATTTCAAATGTCCAGCGTGCAACCATTTCCGAAAAAAAAAATGATAATACTGTGTCAGTGTCCATCTCTGCTGCCGAATTGCGTCGACCTCGGTCGACTAAAATTTTTCTAATTGGTTCATATTATTTATTTGATCATAAATCCCTAGATGGCATAAATAGAAAGGCATAAGCCGTACAACTTTCTTTATGACACGGACATAACCTGATAAAAGGGCACTTTGCTTAACAAACTCCTAAACGAAAGTAAAGGCCTTTCGTAAAAGCTTTGAAAGTATTTTTTATATACAGTACATGTATGGGGACTTCTGAGTAAACAGGATGACTGGGCTGAAAGTAGTCCAGATTTTTGGGATAAACGCTCCTATCTAATGAGGTACGTACAGGGATTGCTGAATCATGGTTCGCATTTGTCAAATTTGATGGATGGTTTTAACCTGATTTATCGTGATCCGAAAGGTACGAAAACCTCGATCATCGTCTATTAAAGGTCCATCAGACTGGATTTGAATGAGCAACGTTCTATGGGGAAATGTTTTCGCAATACTGCGCTGTAATACACTCGCTTGAAGTGCTCGAGCGCAAAATTATTTGTCTTTGTTACTCTAAATATCTAAAAGTTCTTTATGACGAAATTCGAATTGAGTCCCATAGTAGTTAATCTCGAATCTAATGTGACTCTAGCCTCCTCTCTGAAACGATGCTGTTTGCTCAAGAAATTATGGATCTCAGAAGTTTTTCACACCGCCTGTGAAAAACAAGTAGATCGTCATTCCGGGATTTACTTGAAACGAATAATTTTCTGATCGATATCGTCTTTGATTTGCATGTGAAATTAAAATTTATGGAATGCCGCAAGTATTCGTCATCATTCTGATGATGATCAGACCCAAGGAAAGAAAATAAAAGGTATAGCATCTTGAATCTTTCTTCTTTTAAAACTGTCCATAAAAGTCATGTCAAAATTTTGCTTCAAAAATCAATTATTTTTTTCAGCTTTGTTTACTTTCAATTGGTCGTGACTGTGTTGTGCTCGAGAAAAGGACTACAGTGCAGTATCTACATTCCAGCATTGATGTACTATATTCCTGGGTTCACTCTGTAAACGAGTTCTCATATTTCGGAAAGCTCATTATGAAGTCCACGATTGTCCTGCGATTTTTCACCATCAATATTAATGACTGTTCAATTGAAGAACGACTTAGCATTAATTATAGTACAAAATCTTCATCTTACTGATACACAAGTGTATTAAGCAGTACTGTAGTATGCGGACCACTGCTTTTAAACATGCACCTGACACTTGGTCAACGAATGTTCTGAGTTTACGATTTTGCATTTCATTTCAACTTGGACTCGAGCAAATTTGAAAGGGTTTAAAGCAGACTGTGTCACTCTCTTGATTTTTGCTTCTATGAAGATCTCGAAAATCATTTTTTACGAATATGGCTAACATTTTGGCAAGACTTCTTTCGGTCCGTAGCCAGCGCTCCAGACGTGAAACCTGGCCTGGTGATACGTTTTAGAACGGGCATGCACGCACTGCCACGCTTTGGAAAACGTAAAATAAGACCGTTCTTGGAATGCTGTGGTCTATCAGAAAGTACGGTTTTTTAAAATTTTTTTTATTCATTTTTTTTTTTACAAATTGTCGGTCAACGAAAGATTTTGCATCGCGTTTTGAGTCTTCTTCATCATCCATATAGTTCTCGGAACCTGCAAGCCCATTTGTGGAATCTACTTTCCAAGCATGGTAGAAGAGAAAATGACACTGGCTTTACTTGTCGCGGTACTAACCACGAACATATTTTCCCGTATCTCGTTCGAACAGGAAACAGGCGGCAAATCCACTCGAGCAGGAGATCCTGGAGCGACCTCAAGGATAACGGCTGGGTCGGTGTCGCACTGGACGCCACTTTGGGCGACGAAGGCAGAGTTGTGGTATGTTCGCTTCACTAAGTACTTAGATTATGGCTTTTTCATGGCCATTGGCTTCATCCTGCTCTAGACTGGCATGTGTAACATTCTTGATTTTCTAGCGTCTATAAAGCTTAGAGTGTGCCACGTGCCAGTCATACCTCATTTCGCGTACCATCTTCAAGGGATCAGAGAACACGCCAGTTTTTACCCATTTTAAAATGCTGATGCGTTGGATCATATCCGAACTACACTCATAATTGAAATTTATATTGACTGAGGCGTTGAACAAGCCACACGAAAAAGGGTTAGATTTTGATTTAAATACATCTGAGTCTGATTTCAACCACGGTGTTTGGATGGGAATGTCCATGTTTAATTCAGAAGGAAAAGGCGAAATTGTGATTCATTATCTGAAACACATACATTCACACCACAATAGTTATACGCTCTCCTCAATTGTGACATCACAGAATATAACATCATGTTGTCGTCATGCGTGAGCATATCATATTTGTAAATGCTAAAGATTGCAAGAAACTTGTAGTGTGGTGATGTTATTTTTTGTATGCTGATTTGTTTGTACAATTACAGTTGAATCTTGATAACTCGAACTTTCCAAAGTCGTATACCTCCGTGTATCATTTTTTTTTTCGAAAAGAAAAATCTGGAAAACTTTTCTGAAATCCATTAGAAGCAATGCATTTAAAGCCTGCTTAGTTCAAAGGCTTTCCCTCTCAAACCTCCATAACTCAATTTCTGGGACCTCTTCGCTATTGTTTCATGGATGCAGAAAAGAGAGAAGCAATAAAAAAAAGGGTGACTTGCTTTGAAAGGAAGTGAAAGACTAATTTGACAAATTAACGCTTGCCTCCGAATTTAGCATCCTGTCACTCATTCAAGAAGCAATTTCAGGCCCGGTACTTCGCCAATTAAAATTTCATGTAATCCTTCTTCGTTTCCTCCAACATAAATGCTTGTTTCTCCGACTTGAAGCATCACTAACTTGAATTCTTGTGCTGGTTTCTTGAAGTTCGACTTCAAGAGGTTTGACTTATTCTGCCAAGTTGGGTTCCAGAGTACTTTTCTAATTTTTTATTTCCCGAACGTTTTTAATAAGTTTTAAATTTACAGTACCCATGTCTCTAGAGAGATATTTCGATTCTCTCGTATCCACTTCTTCTAGGTATCCACTCCACTCCTCAGAAACACCTTTTTATTTTCTGGGAAAACCCAGCGTACCACCGGTGGTACGTTGAAAGCCCTGTCCTCCGCAGTCGATGCGTGATGATGTCGGGGCAATGATGCTGGTTAAGGCAGATGGAAGAGATCCAGCCGCGCGTTTTTCGATGTAACCGAGTGATAATGCAGCACCCGCAATCGGTTTGATGTGGCCGGATTACGGGTTGCGCAGGCCGGGGAAAAGCGTCGGATCACGGGTTACAGGATTAGATTGGGGTATTTGTAATTGAGCGGTGCTTGAGAGACGCAACTTCGCGGAATTGATGCCGGCATTATCCGAGATCTCGCGCATTTCACCACCGTGCAATTATCTCGCACTTGCACATAATTGAACTTTCTTCGCGTGACCTCATCTTATACTGACAACTTTCTGGATCTAAAATCTGGCTCAGATGGGTACGCTCCTGGGGCTCTTCAACCTGTGTTACACGTACCACTGATGTTCCGTGGGCCACTGTCCAATTTTATGGTACGCAGGAGTTCAGCATGAAAAAATATTAAATTATTAAAATACCAATGCATTTTTTAACCCACTTATTTGTCAGCTGAAACTGATGAACATTTTTCGGAGCATCATATGAAACACTTCGATGAACGCTGTAAGATAAAACCTACTCATCCATAAGCATCTCAAAACACTCAGAAGGGCTTCTGCCTTTCAGTTCAGCTGACTGGGTGGGATTTCGACAATATCCAAAACACCCTGATTTTCATCAACAGAAGCAAATATTTCATCAGTTTTCATTTCAGATTGAAGATCTCTCAGAGGAAAAAAATGAATTTCGAGCTATTTCCTGAAAAAAAGACCGGATTGAGGGCGCTCCATTAAAATATAGGCTGCATCTGTCGTGAGCCCCGAATGGGGATCGAATATTTTCAACTGAATATTTTCAACTCTGGTGAACATGAAAATTACATGAGCATAAAATAAATGGTATAAAGTCTATAAACAGAAGCTGTACTCACCAGGGAATGGAATGAGCGCACTATCACGAAAATTAATTGAGCGCACTTGAAGACGTTTTCATGCAGTATTTTTGAAAATGTGATATTTACAGAAAATCCAGTGACTACCTCCAGAAAAAGCACCCCTGAACCAAACGCAGTGAACTAAGCACAGCAAATTTGTTATTCCCTTGTGACTAACACCCTTATACAATATCAGACCGGTTTTTGGCTCCCTCCGATGATTCACAAAATTACCACATTAAAAGAAGTGCCTGATCCCCATTTGGGACTCAGGGCATGGAATGGGTTTCACAGGGGTTTGTTCAGAAAAATGTATGTTTTCGAAAACATGGCCCGATAATTGTTGGTACATTTTTTCAAAGATAACGTACTCTCCTGATTATTTCCGAATGAATATTTTGTTTTTGAAAGAAAGAGGTGCAAATTAAGTAGGAAAAATAGTTTGCATTGAGAAGTGGATCAGGTCCAAATTCGTTCGGGGAAATCTGAATTTCATCTGGTTAGATTGCAAAGAGTATATCTCAAGTTTAGCTACTTGACGCATGAATCGAAAAAGAATTTTCCGAGTGATCCTTCGCATAAAACAAAGATTGAAACAAGTCGCAATAAGGTCTGCAAAAAATAAAAAAAAGTGGTGCTTCTCTTCGGTTTAAAACTCCAAATCGATACGTTTTATTCTTCTTCGTATTGGCCTTGGGATGCCTAAACCTTTCGCAAGTTCAATGAAGAGATTTTTTCGAGAACCGGTATCATTTTCGTGTTAATCCACTTTTTTAATCACACTGAAGCGCTTCCGTTCAAACCAACTTAGAAAAAAAGTAATTTTATTGATCGCAAGATCCTCTTCGGCACACGTTTTCGCACTGCTCATCATTTTCCGACGCCTGCAATTAGTTCCAGTAATTTCGACATTTCCTGCCATAATTCGGTCACGCCAACCGATTTGGCAGAAAAAATGTATATACTTTACATTGATCATGGGATCAATTACCCTTTTTTTCACCGCTCGTCTTCTTCCGACGCATGCGATTAGTTCTGGCAATTTCGAAATTAGGCGTCGGACTTTTCATGCCAAAATCGCCGAGCGTAACTTACCATCAAAGCGAGCCGTGTTTGGTGTGAAAAATGCGGGACACATGGGTGTCGAAAAAAAAAAAAAAAAATTGGGGGAACCGCAGTTGTCCCTTCACGCAGTTCACGTGTTTTTAGGCGTGCGCATTCACGGCAGCTGAAAAAATTACCGGGGGCAATTTCCTAACTACTAAGCCTGTTATTTATTTTTTCCGTGCTTTGTACAGGTTGTTGGCTCTTGTTTCTTGTTATTTTGTAGCCGGCTGGCCTAACGAGCACGTGGGGGCTTGTAATGCACACCCTGTGCTAAAGTTTTTCATGCCACTAGTGAGGGCTTGTATCTGCGTGTGTGTGTGAAACAATGCTTGGCAGTCCGCAATTCTTTCCGCAACATTTCCGAAATGGTCGCGGTGCTGATTACGTTGATGACAGAAGATCACGAAGGTCGTGGTCATTACTTGAGTTGGTCTCAGGGGACGCCAAAAAGACGGCTGGGCGAAATGCGAAGAACTTCCCGTGAAAAGAATAACAACTGTGGAATTTTCCTTTTTCATTCAGACCAATGGAGTTACAGTATAAGATACCAAGGAATTCTCAAACCTGTATTTTCGCTTTTCTTTTTCTTTTAGCATGCCTGGGGGAATGGGAAAGCTTCCTCCGTACTGACAAAAAGTTCGCGATGTGTTTTCAATTGACTTTTTTATTTTCAAAAAGCCCTTCACGAAATAATTTTGGCTAACTTTCCTTAATCACAATCGCTGTGTATATCACATTATCACTCCAAATACATGTAGACTCTAAAACAATTTTCTTTGTACAGTACAACAAATCTGTTTGGCTCAATGGGTTATCTACCAAGTGTTCCCATCCCATAGGCATAGGGGTTTTCTTCAGCGAAATTCTCTCTTGAGTCTTGACAACGAAATTTTTTTCTGGTCTCCTGGATTTGGTTATACTGTAGTGCATCTGTTCATCCACAGTTTTTTTTTCAGAAACTGAACAGTATATTGTATGCAGTGCAACATGCCGTCTATTATTTTTGAAGTTTCCTTGCTGACAACATGCGCTGAAAATTCAATTATGCGGAGGCAGCTTTCCGGAATTATTAAACAGATAATTCTATATTCGTTTGTGAATGACTGGGACTTGAGGTGTCCTTGTGTCCTTCACGTTCTCTCAACTGAATGATTTGGCTCATTACTGTAATTCTTACGCGGATTCGGCATGGATCCCTCGGAGAACTTCCCTTTCCTGTGGATTTCAGTTTTCTGTTACTGAGACGTACTGGAAAACTTCCTTTTCATGAATTTTCGGTACCGCCAGCAATACACGGTTCAGTTAAATTCAAACTCCGATTTCTCGTGTTTTCAGACGCAGATTTTCTCTATTTCTTCAAGTCCATATGGTCGGAAATTGCGATAAATTTCTTTTTTTTTCACAACGCAGATATTTTTTGTAAAAAAAAATTATCGGATGTTCAGGACATTATTTTGATTAATTTAACCTATCATCGCGGGAAAAAGGTCTCACAAAGTTTTCATCATGGAAATGTGATGAAACTACAGTAGTTCTGTAAAAGCAGAGCTCTGTCTTCCATTAGAACTGAACTCTGTGTTTAATTTAATTTTGAGATTTCGAACAATTTTTCTGAGGGCTATCTCATGAACTAACAAACTGTCGGCGCCGCGTCAGTTCCCGACACTTAGATGCAAATGAGCTCGGTTGAGCATTGGCACCACCGACGTTAATGAGAACGCGTTTCCGGTCGCACCATGTGCTGCTCGTGAAATATGAAATCGTGCATCCGCAGGAAGCGAGATTTCCTTTTTTCCCCTTATCGTTTACTGTGAGCACGTACGCTTAGTGGTCACTGCGTTGAACGTGTCGAAGATGCGTGAAGGATGAGTACATAAACGGTACATTTTTTAAATACAGGTTTGCGGCCACCTTTGGAAACAGCAGCGAAGTGATCGAAACTCCGAACCAGACTTTTACGCTGTGAATGGCATCTGCTACTGGATGTACGCACGAGACATTTCGAAAGCGGATACTGCAAATGAGCTCATTCCTTTGACTGACATATGTGAGCTTTTTTCTCCTCGACTTCTATTCGTCATCGACAATTGGTCGTTCGATTTTTCGTTTTTTAATTGCGTTCTCTACACGAAGACGCCGACGATCATAATGGGACCACCTATTGATCTCGAAATTCAGACTACGAAATTAAGAAGAATTGTCATAAATTTCGATTTCTCCAGAATCGGGAGAACCTGTTGATCGCGTCTATGCTTCAGTTGACAGCTTGATATGTTTGAACATTAACGACAGAGAGTTCGACTACAGTACAGTACCTTGAACTTGAAGCGTCTTCAGTTTAATTTCAAACTTCACTGGTAATTATGAAATTGTGTTCTTCAAAGTAATTGTGCTCTTCAACAGCGAATGTAGTGAAGAGTCGTAAGCTAAAATGTGCCATGAGTTTGGTTCGCATTGGAATGGAGATCAACAAATTCTTTTGCTACCATGTAAAGAACAGGATTTGTTGGATTTATTAACTGTATTGAAGTTATAATTCTCTTTTTGTAATGAACCTCCGGGCATGACATCATTGACTGACATTGCTGAAACGTCTTATTTATGTAAATTATTTTTACCCAGCCTTGCAGACAGTGGAAATATTGGGGAGATCGGAGTACGTTTATGCACTGGGACAAGTTGGGATTGCGGTGCACTTCCCGAAGGGTAACAATCAGTTGCTGCTTGGAGCTCCTGGGGTTTACTCTTGGCGAGGTAAGTTTATTTCTTGTGAAATAGAAGAAAAATTCTTGCAGGTGTCCAATTTTTGTTCCCTTTTTGCCGTAAGAAAAAGAAAATCTCCTTAGGAAACTCGAAAAAGGGATAATCCCATGGGTCCCGGAACGGATTTCATGCGATCTCCCCGTTTGCGAACCATTCCTATGCTTTCTGTCAGGCGAACGTTTTCCTGTCTCTGCTCAAACAAGATCTCCCTAATTCGTCACGCGTAGATGGACGTATAGCCCAAGAGACGTCTGAAGCTGCGCTGCGTGCGGAGGCGTATATGGCTGACAATCGATCCCATAAAGGGGAATTCGTTTCCGCTTTCGTGGTCAGTCAGTGGAGTGCGACTTTTTTTCCCTCTCATTGATTCGCTTCCGGTTCTTCTCTAGGTTTCTTTTTTTTTCCTTCATTCTTCTATGCGTACTGTTCATTTCCTGTTCTTCTTTTTTCCCCCCTTATCACCCCCGCTTCGGTCCGGCGTCTGTGTCATCAACAACTTGACGTTTCGGTCGCGCATCTGGCTCTCATCACGCAGCCAAGCGTGCTGGTTTCTCGTCCGGTCGGCAAGGGGTCATTCCCTGGTCTGCTTTCCGGTGCACCGTAGTTCCCGAGGTATTCTGACGATTAACGCGTTCACCGTATTTGAGCATGAGAAGTTTAATTGAACGAAGACTCGTAAGGGCTTAAAAGGTTGAAAGTAGGAAGAAATCTACGGGCAGTGAGTGGAGAAATACTCCCCGATTGTGCAAGAAATGGAGTTTTCAACTGCACATGTTCAATTTATTAGTGGGAATTTGTTCTTCTTTCTCTTGATGAACAGATCATGAGAGACAATTGTCTTATGAGTTGAAGAAAAAAAATTGGAGTAAAATCCTTTTATTTTTTAGCGACTTTTATACGATCTTCAGTATAGTCAGCGTCGGCAGAACTGTTGTGCGGAATTTTCTCTTACATACGTCAAGTATAGACTGCACCAGATATTCAAGCCACTATTTCTAGTACAGTCGAACCTCGAGGGACTAGCGAAAAAAAAATCGATTTACGGAGGTTTAGAGTTAGGGAAACAAGCATTTTTGTTGAAAAGAACAGAGATACGAATTATAGGAAATTGTAATTCGTGATATTCTAGCATTTATAGGCCGTGAATTTATTCTTAAATTAGTTGACAGAATGCTTAACTTGGAGGCGAGTATTTGCTGCAATCGGTCCTTCACTTCCTTTCAAAACGCATCAAATTACGTTTGTGTTGCTTTTTTCTGTCTCCAGTTTTCTCCAGTTGGAATAATTGCCAAGGGGCCTCCGGAAACTTTGATCACATAAGTCTGAGTAGGAAAGTCTTCGAGTTAGAGAGGTTTGTAATGCATTGTTACTAAGTGGATTCATACGGGGACTTGAAACAAATTCGACTTGAGGAGGTATTCCACTTCAGGAGGTTTTAGATATTGAGGTTGACTTGAAAAAAAAAAGAAGGAAGGAATGACTCTGTTTACTGCTGAAGATCTTCTGCTACTTGCTCGAACGAACTTTCCAGCTTCCAGCTGGGTTATTCTTCCGAGCTCGTCAGGGTTCTGTGGTTCAGTCGAACAGGAAACGCGAGATTATTTTATTGCCTTAGCCATGTGTGGATCGTCCGTTGGCAAAAATGTGATGCGAAGTGTGGGGATATTCCGAACGGTTGACCATTTGTCAGCGCTAGCTCAGACTGACGTTTTGGTGAATTTGGAATATTTTTTACTGATTTTCTCCAGCTTTGAAAGCGTCCACCGGTGAAATTCGGGAATTTTCAAACCAAATCCTTTCAAACTTGAAAAATTTGGATGATTTGGATGCGTAGGTGTAAGATTCACGAGTTTATTCACGATACAGTATAAGAAATGTATCACATTCCAGGTTTTTTCTCCCCACTACAGTACTCTATTCCCGTGAACCCGAGCTATCCAGTGTCGAAATGCGTTCGAATTAAAAAAAATTAATTTCAACATTCAATTACTCATTGAGTCAAGGTGCCGAGTTGATGATATTTACGGAGACGCATGAAATTAATCCATCTGTTCGAACGGCTGAATGTCAATGCCGAAGTATTTCGTGGATTAGCAGATGGGTCCATAAAATTAAATTTTCAATTGTCTCACGCGAATATTGAGATTACTGTATTCATGTTTTTGGTGAATTACGCTGGGTTAAATTGAACCAAGTAAGCTTTCCTCGCGAGCTTGTCGTTGATCGTTCGGAAGTTACAATACCTGTATGTTAACTTGCGTCGAATGAGTATCCGGTGAAGAAAAAAAAAATTGTGTCTCCCCCGTCGCTGAGTATATTGGCGACTAATTTTAATGAAAATTTGAAGGAACCTCTTTTTGTGTGCATCATATTTTACTCTTCGAAATTTAAGATCAGGTCTGATGACTCATTTTCCGGAGGACACGCTCCGGTTCATTTCCGCAGTGTTACGTATCCTTCATGCACATATACTGTAATGTACTGTATTCGAAAAAAATGGTAACGCGATGAGTCATGTGAATGTGTCATTTCACCTTTTCATCTGGAATTCATATCCTACGTATCCTACATGTACATATACTGTGATGCATTCAAAAAAGGTAATAATGATTCATGTGAATGTTTCATTTCGCCTTTTCGTTTGGCATATCTTGATAATTATCTTGATAATTGTCTGGAATCAAAGCATACATTTGCTACTTGAGAAGATGACGTGGACGTGTCAGGAGAGAAGCGCGCAGTAGGAGAAGCATTCAAAGAGAAATGAACTGAATAAAAAACTCAGCACGAAAAGAACCAACGGCTCAATTTTTTTACAGAATCAAATGCTTGTCTCTAAAAATATTACTTCAGTTTTTATTTACATTCATCTTGTAAATCGCTTTTCTACATTAATTAGCGATTGATTTTAGGACGGTGTCTAGAAATTCCCTTTATTTGTTTCAGTAAAGAGATACGTTTTCTTTAGGGATTTTCACTGGGCTGGGCTTTTTGGCGGTTCCTTCTATGCTGGGTCAAATGAGGGTGTTTTCATTTTTTATATTTGAACGCTTCTCTTCTGCAATCGGTATGCGTTACTACAGGATTTATCTGAGCTGTAATGATAAATGATGTGTTAATTATTGCGGCATTTAAATCTTACCAGACATCTTTTGAATTTAATGTCAGCGATCTTGATGAAGATATTCTTCTGTGACACTGGTAATGTGCCTACAAATCAACCGGAAATTTTGCAAGGAACGGGGTTTTTTAAAGGTTTCATTTCTCCGAAAAAAATGCATGAGAACGTCTCTTATTTTTATTATCTATTTTTTCTTGGCGTCAAAAGGGACCGTGGTTCGTCTGAGAGATAGAGTCGCAGCTAACGAAATTCCGAACAGGCGGAAACGAGAGGCGAACCACACATCGAATATTTTCTACGACCCCGACTTTGACGAATGTGACGGTGACCTCTTGAACTGCAATAACGACCAGGACTGGTTGTCTCAAGAGATGACCCCACATGTAGTTGAGAAACGACAATCGTCAAGAGTATTTCCTTTTGCCGACACTATTGTCCCGCATCTTCTGTTCACTGAATCGGTGGTCCCTTCAAGTTACTGGGGTAAGTCCATGTTTCGTTGAATATTATACAATAAAACCTCCATGAAATGTGCCATGTATCCGTATTTAGGACACCGCATGCTTTACAACATGTGAGAGACTTTTTTTTACTTGATTCATCAAAAGGGAAAAAAATTTCCTTCACAATCTCTCTAACGTGAAATTAGACCGAAATGTTATGGCATATCAAGTTTGAAATATCTTAATTATATTTTATTCTCGATCGACATTAACTTCGTCTGCGATATCATGACGGTCGAATTTCTCTGCAAAAAGGCAGTTGGAGAAAATGCAATGCTAGTGTTACGCATCATTCTAAAATTACTGTATTAATTTGACAAATTAGTCACTCGGATTCGCCCAAATTTCAAGAAATGAAGTATTTTAAGAACGATTTTGTGTAACCCAAATGTACCGAATCTAGGATGCACCCTGATTTTTTTGTTAATCAAAGCGAAAAAAAACGAACGTCGTTCATTTGCGTAAAATATAGTGAATGCTAGTTCTTGCGGGAAAAGCGAAGTGATAATCTGAAATTTGAGTGAAGAAAGCAGCGCTTAATTTCGTCGATATGAATCTGTTCGCCAAAAAAAGAAGAAATTATGTGATTCGAACCACCAAATGTTTATTTTAAAAAAATCCAGAAGTGTTCGTTTTCAGTTATGACATTGATTGATATAATGAGCTTTGAACTTGCATGATGTGGGTTTTGTCCATGAGCGATAAATAAATACTGTGAGTACAATTAAATTTTGTCGATGAGCAAGAAACTTTCCGGTTTTTTCGGAATGCCTGTGATTGAAAAAAGAGAACATTCACTCCTTTTTTTTCTTCGACTCAACTTGAAAAATAAAGAAAAAAGAAGACCTAACCGTCAAGACCCTGCGTAAGGAACGAAAATTTAAATTTAGGAAAACAAGGTGAATGTCCCATAAGGCAATCGAGGCCCTGTAAGTTGAGGTACAAAAGAATTTTGTACGTCGCCGGAGCCCCGAACGCCAATTCCACTGGCAGGGTATGTTACTTCGCACTTTTTTTTTTAACTTTGCATGGAGAATATAGATTTCCGCACTTTCATGACACCTTAAAATGCAGGATTCTGGTTTCATCTTTCGAACTACCGTTGAATTAACGCACTTCAGACAAATTGTTATCCCGTTGTTTCTCGCAATTTTCTGGCTACAATTTTAGCTGAGGATTCTCGAAATCTGCTGGGAAATCAGAAAGTTGTGAATGATTCAAGGACTGACCTTAAACTTGATTTCGATCCAAGACTGCTGATGTATTTCAAATTCCTTGCCTTTTGTTCTACCGAATTACAGTAGTTAGCTTTTCAATCACAATTACAATTGCCCGATTACCACTAGAGTACCCGATCGCTCGACTATTTTGTTACTAAAACACTATTCGAGGAGAAAATGTATATGTTATATTATCTAGAAATCATGAAGCAAACCTTCGATCCATCGCAAAATTTTGTTCGATGGAAAAAAAAAATTTCAACTTTCACACAATATATTCTCTTGAACTTTCGGATCTTCCCGCGTTTTGTCCGTTTTTCCTATCAAATCGAAATTGGAAGACCGACTGCGTACGGCATTAGGTATCTCGCGCTTAAATTTTTCACAATCCTGAATCCAAAATTGAAGTGAGGCATAAAATTCTACGCTTTCGAGACGGTCAGCGTATGATGTGTTCTCGTGAGATCTCGATTTTCCTTGTAAGCTTTCATGCTGCAGTTTTTTTTTTTTTTTATGGACCATGAATCCGGCGTTAACGAGGCGCATTGTTGTCTATTATTTCTTTCAAAATCCTGGAAAACGTGCTGGTCTTTTTCGCTGTCGTGCGCTGATGATAAAAAAAAACCGCGTGGTTTCAGGCGTACATTTTCAATTATCAGCCGAACGGGAATAGCCAAAGCCCGCTGGAAATCTTCTGGACCTTCAAAGGTCGACAGGTGAGTCTTTCTTCTCAGTTTTTGTTTCCCTCCGATTCATATGACCTAATTTTTGCTGTTTTCAGCTCGGGGAATTTTTCGGGGGAGCAGTTGCTGCATTGGACATCAACAACGATGGTCTGGACGATTTGGTTGTTGGTGCACCGATGTATTCCATTCCCAGTGACACTTCGCAATTTGCGGAAGATTCATTATTCCCTGATCAAGGCAGAATTGCTGTTTATATCAATAATGGATTGGTTAGTTGACTTGATTTTTCTCGAAACAGTTCAGTTGTATAGTAATATTATTGGCTTTACATATTTCAAATTGTTCAGGTCGTTGCTGATGAAATGTCGAATCGGATGTAATTTTTCCGCAGGGCTTTGAGGACATTGCGTCGCAGCAATTTTTCGGTAGCCGAACTGCAAATGCTCGCTTTGGAACGACTTTGTCTGCTGTTGGTGATATCAACCGTGACGGATTCGATGGTGAGTGATTACTTGGAGGTCACGATAATAAGTTATGCGTGCAAAAAACATTATCTGTTTAAACTGCAATTGGAGACTGTGTTTTTCAATGCACACTCCGGAGATTGTATTTACCGTACGTTTAGTTTCCGAAGTGAGTGAACAGTTGCATAAATTTCTCTCAAAGGTTTAATCACATCTTTTTATTTATGAAATCCACTCCTCCAATTGGGACGTAAAAAACTAGAATACACCTTTTATCCCATTAGATATTCAGTAGTAAAATATGTGCTTGTGAAATCTCGTTCTGTGGGGTGTAGTATTTTGCAACAAGCTTTTATTCAAACGAATTCAGCGGGATCTCACAAACAAATAATGTATCGGCTACTGGGGATAAGTTCGAAGTGTTGTACAGTATTATTTTAAGAAAAATCTTGTTATTGATAAATGAAGGTGCAATTGTTTCTTGCGTCTTTTTTCAAACATATGTTTTTAATGTAGTGCTTGCAAGGTAAATTTTACTGCATGCGTATTTTCATTTTGATTTTTTTCTTGTGCAGTATTTGTTGGGGTACAGTATTTTGTTTTGAGATTCTGGCCCTTTTTGGGCAATCCGCTTTTATTTCTAGAATATCTTTTATTTTGTTATGGATCTTTAATTTGCCATAATATTATTCAATGTAAGGGACTGCGTGTTGAACGTCTTGGCATTGGTTGCGTCGCAATATTCCCATGAAAGTGGCGCTTTTAGAATTTGTCATAGATTATCCTTTTTTGTTGGTCTGCTGACGCTCTTTATGTGTGAAATGGAGTTAAAGTGAACGATTCCACGTGTAGATTTGGCGGTTGGAGCGCCTTACGAAGATGGCGTAGGAGCTGTTTACCTGTACCTCGGTTCACGCAACGGGTTCCGAAGCTCGCCGCAGATAATCCGTGCTTCTGTCCTGTCGGATCAGCTCCGCGGATTTGGCATCTCCATTTCCCGCGGTGTCGACATGGATCACAACAGTTATCCAGGTGCCTAAAAATGATAATACAGTACAATCCTTCCTTAATCCTTTTGAACTCCGTGTATCGAATGCATTGTCCATACGGAACGTTGGCATAAGTAACACGTCAATAAAATTCGCATTTCCATCATTCCAGATATTGCAATTGGTTCTTTTGCGTCCGGACATGCTGTCGTTTTGCGTTCGAGTCCAGTGGCAAGGATCACTGGCACGATTACAGCGACTCCGGAAAAACTTCCCATTAGTTCCACGGAATTCGCGATCAAGGTTTGCCTGCTGTACACTGGCAATGACGGACCAAAGCGACAAGGTAAATGTGCGATAATATTTCAAAACATACAGTACACTATTTCCTCAGGGACTTACATGAATTAATGCTTTTGTTAACTGCAGACTCATTGTCTTTGGGTGGATTAAAATTGACAAGCGTCATGCAATCGAATGCTCTGCTCGAAAGGTTTGTCCCGAATATATGCACAGTATTGTACTGTACACTTTTACAGCATTTATAAAATGTATTACCGTAAGTTTTGTACTCAAGTTTTTGAGTTAAAATCCACATATCTTCGAACAATCTGAAAGATACATAACGCGACTGCTGATACGCATCTCATTTTACAGCATTTTCTGATGATTAATTTTTGTAAAACCGGTGTAATTATTATTACAGTAATTTCATTGCACATTCAGAATCATTTCACGAAAAATTCTGAAAGTCAGTACTCATTTTTCACCTAAACATCGTTGTCAAATCTTGGAGACCGTCTCGTTCCGAGCCGAATTTGAATTATTTGAATAACGAGACAGCCATTAATAAGGTAATGTACGTGTATATTCGAAGAAAAAAATCCAAGCTTGGCTTTTGAACTTCACTACATAATTGATTTCACTGTTCTTGAACCCCGTTGAGAAAACATTTGTCAGTTGTCAGAAAATTATCAATTACAGTGTTAGTCGTCAAGAAATTACACCCATCTTCTTTCATTCAAGTACAGTATCTTAAAAAAAAAGTTGAACTTTCATTCTGACAGAATGTGTGAACCTGTTCCCGTACTTTTATAAACGCTTTTTGCTAATTTTAGCGCTTGAATCATTTCTCCTCAGAGATCGATGTGACACTCACTGCGGATATGGAACGTCAATCTCCCCGCGTGTTCTTCGCAACAAACACAACGAACGGAAGCCGACAAAATCGAGCCGAACATTCGTACAAACGAAGTTTGACGAAAGACGTACGAGCCTGTGACGATTTCGTCCTTAATTTTGTGGTGAGTCATTGTGCTCGAATTGACGACGGCCTCGTAACAATAGCTTTGCCGTTGATGATGTGCGACGAACAATTCGTCTTTGTTTAGCCGAACATTGCCGACTTCTCGAAGGCTCTGGCAATTACTCTTGATTTCAAGCTGAACGAAGAAATTTTGCAAATTGGGCGCTCTGCCAATCAATTGAAGTCTCGACCGGTTTGGATAAAAAATGATCGCACTCGGGACGGTGCTGGTGGACAGCGACGCGGTAAACGACGAGTAGGTGAGTAAACCTGTAAGAAAGCAATGTCCTTATCATTTTCAAAACTTTTCGTATTGGACTGTACTGTACTATAGAGCGTTTTCACGTCAGCGTAATTGAATTATTTTACTGAACCTTTGTCATCAATAATTTCTGCGGTGAATGTTACCCATTTCTCTGAATTTCATATTGATGAACTGGCTATTTGTGGTACTAATCTTTCTTCTATAATTTTCGTTATGCATACGTAATTCTAAGATGTTGCACTAAAACTTGAGCGAGTGACGTGTTTGAAGCCAGACATGCGATTTACAGGTGGACAATTGAAAGCTTTCTGCAACGAATGCGCCATGTTGGACCCAATTGATGTGTCTCGTGTCACTGCAACCGTACCTTTCATCAACGGCTGTGGTGACGACGATATTTGCACCACAGACCTTTCAGTCACTGCTGCATGGGAAAATATTCCGTAAGTATTGTATTTGGACGGTTTTCAAGTTAATAAACGAGAAAAATAATGAATGAAGTTAAACTCAATCCCCGCAGTTTGAAAGCTATTCCTCGTTAGCACTTGCGTTCTTATTGTGGTCACCGTTTCTTCATGCAAACATGACATCAGTGTCATCAGGAATTCAGGAATGAATAAAGTTTGCAATTTTTTCACACTTGCTCCAAGATATGCAAGAAATTTCGTTGTATGATTGACGGCCGGTATCAAAATGTACACAATTTTAAATACGACCATTGCCCCAAGCACAGAAATCCTTACAATGACGACGAACTGTAGATTGAAAATAACTTCCAAGGTGTCTCAAGTTGAATTCCCTTGAATTAGAAATGTGATTTTCACATTTTTTCGAAATGTATTCGGAGAAAGATAGGTTGCATGGTTACTTTTTCCTCATTAAAGGTTTTGGTTTCTGGGTTTTTACATATCACGCTTAAAAGTTATCCGTATCGGTCGATGAGTCAATGAGGTACTTATATCCGTACTGAACAATTTTTTTTTTGCATTTGAATTCAAGACGCTGTCTAACGTGAGTCAAAACCCCAGCAAGCCTGTCATGTTCGAAAAAGTAATTTACGATATTTTCAGTTGGTTTCTTGCCGAATCTTGGAATTCCACTCCGGGATGCTACTCATGTTAGAATGTGTTCATGCTTGGCTTTTCCTTGTTCTGTATTATAGAGAGAAGTTTGTAGTTGGATCAGTCGAGACGGCAAGGTTGATCTTTCGGGTGTCGAGTTCGGTTGAACCAGCCTATGGACCTATTCTCACCATAAGTATGTCGAGGTTCCTTCGACAACGTTTTCTACCTTCCAGTTGTAGCGCAGACTTGAGCATTGAAGATCGCAACATTTTGGAATGCAGACTTCCTGGACCTATCGATAAAGGCAAAACGGTAATCGAGTTTAACACATGGAATCGCGTTGTTCTTGGACAATCTTGAGTTGAAATAAATTTTCGGGACTCTCTTCAGGCGGAGTTGACATTAGACATCGGAATGGACAAGTTACGTGGGTACATGACGGAAGTTGACATCAACGTGACTGCCTTTTCGATCAGTAACGAAATTAATCCCGCAAACAATTTCATTAACATCACTTTGCCTCTGGAAGCACAAGCGGATATTTTCGTCACAGGGTGTGTATTCCTCATTTGAAGTAATATATCGAGCGTTGTCTGATTTTCGCGCGAAGTTCTATTCGTAAAGATTTACAAATTTTGAAATGATCATACATTAAACGAAAGAATCCTCTACACCTATTCTTTAAAAATGCATCTTCTCGTTTTGCTGACGTGTTGAAAACCAGGGAAAAAGTCAGCGACTCTTGCACGCAATGCCCCACCCTGTTCTGAAAACTCCACAGCAAGTTGCTTTTTATCATGCTTTTCTGCCACGTTTGGATCTTATTTGTGGCCTTTGCTTATTACGTAGTGCAGATGAATCCTTATCCCTTATCCTTCTTCACGAATGCCTCGAAAAATTAAAAAATTGTAAAGTAATCCAAAGAATGCCGAAGAAAATTATTTTATGAGTTGGTTGAAGATATTTTTTACTTGATATATTGGAAACCGTAACCATCATATTCGTATAATCCTCTCATTTCGTGACATCACTGCAAATTTTCTCAGTTCTCATGAGACAATTGATTACAATTTTCAGGAGTTCAAAGCTTGGTCAGCATTATTATTCGTTAGACGAAGCGCGGCCTCCACATAGTCGGGGTTCGCCAAATATCATCGACACAACGACGAATTTTCAGGTCTGTAAAAATTTGAACTTTAAGATATTTCTTTGCCATGCAGCAGGGATACTTTCATTCTGTACAGGTTATTAAACATCTGGATACACCAGTGGAAGAAATCATTTTGACCCTCTCGATTCCTTATTCATTCACGAATGATGACGCGAATTCTTCGAAATTCTTGACTGTTTCACACGTCGGAGACCGAAAATTCCCGTGCGAAATTCATCCCGTATTGCAAGTTTCATCTAAGGTACGGAAGTTCAAGAGATTGATAGATGAGTCATGTTTTTTACAGGTTGTAGAACTTTCCGCAAAGATTTTTCCGACATTGAAATCTGTTGTTTTACGTAGCGATCAAGAAGGAGCATAGATTCGGCCGCAATTTTAGACGATGTGTCGTCCGGAAATGCAACTGCGGAAGCTCAGACACAATTTTCTCTCTTAGCTGGGAATATTTCCACGGAACTAAATTGCACAAACGGAGTTGTCCGCTGTGCAAGTATCACTTGTCACGTGGGTCCTTTCAAAGAAGCAGGATCTTATGTTGACCTCTCATTTCGGTATCACATCGACATGAACAGAATTGGTGAGTATAATCTCAGGCTGATCTTATTTTTAGGAAATATCCGTTCACATAGCTGGGTTCCCCTGTTTTCATGCAAATAATTCGAAAGGTACTTTCTATAAAAATGTTTCGAGAAAATGGATTTCGGATCTGTTGAACTTCAAGGAACTCGTTTCTTTTTCATCTGGCACTGCTGCTGTACACGCAATTGCGCCGAATTTCCGCATGAGTTTCCTTACGTCGAAAATATAAACGCATCATTGAATGCTTACGCTCCCTTTTTCTGCCAACAGAGCCCAAAATTGGAAAAAATACGACCATTGGACTGAAAACGACTGCCGAAGTGAATTTTCAGGGGGATTTAGCTGGAATGTCCAAAGAGCTGGCTCAATTTGACGAAAAGTACGTATGTTACGAGAACAGAAAGGGAAGTCGACTGAGCGGGCTATTGTTGACGATGTGATTTTCATATTGGCATTGATACGTGTATTTATTTAACGCAGGCCGAACAAAGCCGTCGTGCTGACGTTGTTGATCGCGAATCAAATGCAGGAGACGCTGCCTCTGCAATGGCTCGTTCTGGCCATAGCCGGTGGCGTGCTGATCTTGATGCTCATCGCTACGGGGCTGGCAAAGGTGCGTTGTGGGAATTTATGTAAATGTTGATATAGATGTCGCTTCTCTGGAATCTCTCGGAATTCCGTGCTTCCCACTGTAAGATTGAGTTGATCGCAAAATGCCTTAAGCTTGATGTCCGAGTGCCGAATAATTTTTCCAAAATTTGTGATCTCTTTCTTTTAAGCATTATTTCCGTAATTTTTATGGGCTGTGATCGACGTACGAAGATCGCGGGATTTTCGAACTCACGAAGCAGAACATTATTTTCGTCATGAATTAGGGAAAATTACTGTAAACCACTAAACGTTCATTTTTTTCCCCTTGAAGCGTTTAAACCTACAGAACAAACGCCTTATGGTTGTAAATATTATACAGTGCCTTGAGGCTGGTACCATCCTGCATTTTTTCGTTCCTATTGTAAATTACTGGGAATGTACTTCTACCGTAAGAAACGATGATGTTTTTAGCGAGTGAAGCCCTTTTGTTTCGAACATTCATTGCCCATATTTGCCTTAAATGAAAGGATAAGATTTTTTTTTATTCTAAAGCTCATTTAGTAAAAATGATCAGTTACCAACATTATAGTCTGCAACGATTTTGGTTTTACCGTATTTAATCACACTGCACTTACGCAGCAAAGCTGAAGCTCTGGAATATACCTTACACTTGAAGTATATTTGGATATAAGTTTCATATTTTAAATTCCACGAATTCGACGACAAAATTACGTACTCCAGCAAAATTGAGAGCTTTAAAAAAAATTTTACATCTTCTAAATCTTGGATTATTCATGAGATGCTTTTTCTCCCCTTGCTTCGTCCTTCACAATCTTGACGCATAATTTCTATCACACTTCGCTAATGATAATCCAAGACTCGTGCTCCGTCATAGGTGGGATGATTGCGATCACGGGCGGAAGAAGCAGACTTCGAGATATTTCGAATACGATGTGACAGTTTTTATTTTATGGGGTGGCTGAGAAACTCCCTTCGTGCGTATCTTATCACAACGCAATTTTCGAACGTTTCAATTTCATGATGGAAGAATTTTTCCCGCTTCTTTTGCTCCTCATCCTCAAATTCAAAAAGTCGCTGAATGAATACATTTCAAGCGAGAAGGGTGTGGAGATATTTTTCAGTTTTTTACTCTCAAATTTCGAAGAATCCTGCTGTCGCGGAGATTTGTAGGATTTTATCACGTTGAATCGCATCTAGACGCATTTATTGCTTCACCTCTCAAGATTTCTCCGACGCACATGGGGTTGATGGAACCGGTATATACTACAGTATTCCTTTTTAACCCTTATACAGGCTGGATTCTTCAAGCGTGACAAGATGCAAGAAATCAAAGACCGGAGAGCTGAAGAGGCTCTATTGAAGAATCACCGGCCTCCATTATCAGGGGCACAGCTTCTAGAAGCCGAGGGACCCATTGATGTCGGTGCCTCAATCGTGATCACGTGACCATCTAACTAGAAGTGCTCATTTTTTTGAGAATTTTGGATAAACAAAAAAGATGCGAAGGAATTTCAACGGTTGATGCAGCGGATTTTTCGCACGTTTGCTCGACATTCCACTTCGTGTGGTGTGGTACGTTAGTTGAGCTGAGAGAGAGAAAAACGTCGCTTCGGAAGCTTCGATTAATGGTCAGTGTTGGCTTTTTTTTTTTTGGGTGCGCGAAATGTTCGCTGCATGAGCTATTGCAAATTTCGACGTTGTACCTTGTGATGCTGAGATTCGCGCGGCGTTCGTCCGTCGAACCAACGATGCTTGTTGATTCCTGATCTTCCGTGTTTCCAAAGGAACGATTCTTTCCCGAGTAGTTATTATTTATCCTACGTTTACAACGGAAGGGAAAACGGGAAATCGCCTTTTTTGGCAAGGCGGTATCCCTGGAGGGCATTTGAGAGGTTCGCGTTCCTTTCCGGTCGATTTTTACGTTTTGAACTTCTTTTTTTTCGAGTGAGAGAGATGATGGGATTGCTGAGCTTATGAGAGTCGCTTTCTGGGAACGCCATAGCGTTTCGTCGCATTCGTTACCATATCGAATTTTGTGCTCGGTTTCAATGGTCAAGAGCAAAAGTTCGTTTCAAGTCGTTTTTTTTCTGGAACTCGTGAAGCCAATTTCTCGCCGAAACGAAATTCGAGTTCGTGGACTGCAGTGACATTGAGAATGTGTCGGAAATAATAATGACGGGATTCCCTTGCGAAAAGACATGCTTAACAGCCGAAGAATGTGAACGCGTTAGAGACAATTTGCGCTGTTGAATGTAAGATTTTTTTTTCCCCATCGTGTGATTCATACTTCGTGCTCTGAATGATCCGGGTGTCGCTGAAAATGACATGCAACATTTTATTCTTATTCGTGAAAACACGTGTGTACGAAATATTTCGATACGCCTGTATCCCGCATGAACTGCTGCCCTAATGGGGAATCGATAAGAAGATTCGAACGGATTGTCACTTCTCACTCCACCTTCTTCCCCATGCATCCCAGGCAAAAAAAAGGGTCAGCATAAAAATAGATTTTGTGATTGTCATGGGCCATGGGGAGATGTTACTATGAACAGCCCTGCAAAAAATGAGGGTGTGACATCCCAGCAAATGACTTGTCAGCTTTTCATTGGTGGAAAACCCATGAAAAACTGTCATCTGTAATCATCACAGGTGATGGTTCCTCAAACCATCAATTCAACGATGGGTTACAGAGCAGATATCTTTGTGGGTTAATAGTGCATAAAACAAATGGTTGAAGGGGTTTTTTAAATGGGTATTTCACCCATGCTTAACCCCTTACAAAAATTGGTCCAAACTTAAAAAAGGCAGATATTGGCATGCAAATGTCTGCCATTTTGTGCATTCTAACCAAGGCACCCACAGGATTTTTGTACAGGATTAAAAAATCCAGTGAACGGGAACTCTGCCAGACAAAAATCCTGAGTGTACAAAAAATTACATTGGTATATAATTCTTTTCCATGTTTGCACCCTTGGGATTAGCTGAGGGAGCCCTGTGCTGAAAACTGTGTCTGAGAATGTGCATAATGTTAGACACAGTTTTCAACACAAGGCTTGACCAGAAAATCCCCTGGGCACAAGAATCTGTTGGTTAGCAAAATGCTGCTTTAAAAAATCCTGCCAGTACAAGACTTCATCCAGTGAAAAAATAATCCTGTGGGTAAAAAAATGACTGGGGTATATAAATTCCAGGGATAATTACATGCTGTGGGTGAGAAATGTGGTCTATAGAAAAATATTTTCAGGTACAAAAATTACACCCCAGTTTTGATAATCTTAAAGGCATGGAAGTAGTGGACCTCAGAGTGATACGCACAACAGGAACCCTCAACTCCATGAGGAGGAGGTCCTTGCGTATGCATGATAACTCATCATGGGTTCCACAGAAGAGAACACACAAGATGCTGCATTTATATATGGGGCAGGAGGGGTTTAAACCTTTGTTATTCTGTGCTCCCATCAAAACGGTGTGGGACACTGGGATGCAACATATGCAGGTGAACTTTGATACAGTTGAACCCCTCGCAAGTCAAATTTCAAGGGACCTGCAAAAAATTTGACTTAGAGAGGTTTTGACTGAGGTAAGTTCAGAATTTTACAGGTTGTCACTTGGAAAAATCTGAATGGTGATATTCTGGGGGGTTTAAATGGCTTCTTAAATGAGTTGAAAAAGCTGCTGAACTTGGAGGCAGGAGTTCATTTTCCCAAGTTCAGCAGCCTTTCAATTCATTTAAGAAGCCATTTAAGCCCCAGAATATCACTATTTGCAGTTTTTCTAAGTTTTCCATAAAGAGCTTTGTATTCTAGTTCCCACCTATAAAATTCAGCACCTCTCTAAGTCAAATTTTTTTGGCAGGTCCCTTGAAATTCAACTTGGAGAGGTTTGACTGTACATCAGTGTGGGTATGTACATGGCCGCATCATTCTATTGTATATTGCAGTCAAATATCTAAGGAATTAGAATTAACAAATGTGGGAACTGCCATTAAAATTGAGATAAGGTATTTCTATTTAATATTTACCCAGACACAAACATCTAGAGAATAACAGTTTATCTACGTACAAAAAGGAAAATCAAAACATAGACAAAAGGTAAAATGGAAGCACTCATGCTCCAAACATAAAACAAAGATGTTAAAATGAAATGAACAACAAAGACATGCACGAAGTCTGTAAGAAAGAATGAAGTAGTCACACCAATGAAATGTATTACTGTACTGCAGCACCAGTTTTAACCCTCAGACAGTTGTGGGTTCTTTCTTGGTGGGCCCTAAGTCAAAAATTTGACTTAGGGAGGTTTCACTTATGGAGGTTCACCTGTAGTATATTCAAAAATCTTGCTCATAATGCCAAGGGTGGCAGGGATATTTATTTTGAATTGGGAAAATTGAAAAAATTTTAATACAAAAAATGTGACAAGGTCTTATCCTGTGATGCCACTTGCCCAGGTGTGGCTGGGCACCCTCCCCTAGTTTCATATAAATTTGCTGAACAAATTTCCGAGTCCCCAGAAATTTCTGAGTCCCCAAGAATTCCTACAGAAAGCTGTGAAATGCTTGAAGTATTATATGAAATCAGCAGCCATCTTTAAGAGGCAGTTATGCCAGGAATCAACAGATTTTTTGCTGCACAGGGAATGAACCCCCTTATTTTTGGAAGGGGAAGGGTACATTAAACCCTTGGTGGATAGAAGTGCCAAATGCTCTGTGTTGTGATGCTGGACTGGAGGGTGCCAGCAACATACCTGTGAGCTTTTTTTGCCACTTTTCTATGGTGGAATGAGTGGCTTAAGACAAGGTCAAAATTCAGAGTGTGCATGCAGACCATGTCAACAGCATTTTTTTTTTAAATCTAAAAACGAAATTCATGCCCCCCTCTAAATCAACTGAGTATTTACTCAAATTACTTACTATAATCTTAAAATGTGTTAATCCTTCCTATCCAACAAGCTACATACAGCACCCAGGACATCACCTCCTTTTCATGTGAATGTATCATTTTAAAGGGTTAAATTCATTTTCCAGGTCCTCTTGTTTTTTATTATTATTAAATCTCCAGAATCAGCTTCTTCAGTCCGACTCCGAGATCAGCTGAGACTTCATTGATTGCAGGATGCAATCTGATTTTATTTAAAGCCTGATCAGAGAAAAAAGGACACCTCACATTTCTGTTAAATCTGCAGTGTACAGTATTGATACCATATGAGCATTTATCTATATAATTTAATGAGTGGGATAACTGGAAAAAACGCCAAGATTATCAAAACTTTTTCCTCTAAGTATTCATGGAACGGCATGAGTATAACGCCATGGTTTTACGTGTTTTTTGCTTTTTTGTCGTTGAAGATCCGAGCGATTTTGACACATGGAAACAATGAGTAAGGAAAATTGAGTAGGTGTGGAATTCAGGAAGGAAAGATACGGTTGAATGTGAGAAATTTTCCTCGAAATACTTTTTTTTTGCTTTGTTCTGGCGCATGTAACTGGCGTTTGGCAAACATAGCAGCGGCCAACAAGGAGGGTTTTTAATTGCGCCGTCGCGCGTCGAGTAAGTTCTTTCCTCTGCGTCGTTTATAGCAGCAGCCAATCGATCGACAGCCGCGCAAAAGTGGATTTTTTCTTGAATCTTCTGGGTGCCAGTGTCGATTTTTTCCGCATGCAGAAAGTGTGAAAGTGGGATTTTTGCTTACAGTGTTGTGTTTTTTTAATGAACGGGGTTGAACGGTTTGCTGAGTTGAATCCAGCGAACTATGCATTTATTTTTATATTGTACTGCAATAAACACGCGTTTCAAATTTGAAGTGATCATAACTTACGAAGTAAACGTTCCCCCATCTTGAATTGTGTCTTTGTTTATTTGCGATTCGGGAGGAACATTTATGATGTCTTTGACGATTATAGATCCTAAAAAAAAATGAATGCAGCGTTTCAAATGTATTCGTACTCTCGCAGGATTTTTGCTAATGTTTACCCAATGACGTGTAATGGCGTGTTCGCCCTCTCACCACTTTTCGAATCTATTCGATAAGTCCGGATATAAAAAATTGATTGCTTGCTCATGCATCGTGCAATAAAACGTTTATTATTATTAATATTGCTCTTGTAAAAAACGTACTCCGGCTAGTCGAGCGAACAGGTCATGCAGTATTTCCAAAAAAAGAATAAAAGATTTAAATTATGATGCGAACGTGTTTCCGGAATGCTCTCAAAGTGGATTATACATTTACTGTATACTGTTTTTCCCGATCTTGAAAATAGCAGATTCTTGGCAAAATACGGTGACCTGAGTAGAAATAGGATGATTAGAACAATTTTTAGAATGTACAGCACTGAGGAAAGACTTCAAGGGAATTATTTGATGGGCTATATGAACGGTATGTAATTATTCTAGGGCTTGGGCTTTTATTCAAAGCAGTACCTGAGAATGTAACAGGGGAATATCTAATGAGTAGAATTTATTCTTGGATGATAATTGTTGTATAAATAGATTTATTTTTGTCTGGAAGCGTGGTCCACTCATTTCAGTAGTTTTTACAGTTTTATATGTATCAGACACGTCTCGATATGGAAGTTATAAAAACAAAACTCTCACCTGTCTTGCGATGGGCTGCGAACAAAAACGAGTCCATTTCTAAGCCCGCAAATATTGACTGCGCAATTTGTAGTCTATTGTCGTTTGCCAAAAACTTCCTGTCAATGCATCGGATTCATTTCCTCTAGCTTAGCTTTTTGACGCTGAAGTGATTTAATGAAATTTAAGGCGGCTTCAGAGATTCCCATGAGATATATTTACATGAAAGCACAGAATGAATTTTCCCTAGCTCATGAGAAGTGATCCTCTATATCAAAGAAAGGAGACTATTGCCTTCATTGATGGTGTGATCACGTGGTTTCGCCCCCATTACGCTGGGGAAACATCACGAGGATCCCATTTTTCCTGCACAACTATCCGCACGAATGCTTATAAAACGTTATAATGAACTGTCATTAAAAATTATATGGTTTGCATTACCCCAGCACAATCAGAATCATTTAAAATTCGAAGAAATACCCGTCGATCGAAATTTATAAATCATAGCCGTCATCAGCAACGACATTGGGAGTTTTATGCGTCGGCATTTTTAAAGCGAAACAGAGCTTCAACAAAAAGGAAACCACGCAACATTTCAATTACAGTAAATTCGGATATGGTGCCTTTTGAAAGGGTTCACAGCGAGGTATGCAGCTTAAAATATCATCATTTGACGAATTTCTCGTGATTTTTTGCTGTTGACAGCCTTTCTGTACGCAAGAAGAGAAAAACAAATTCAAAAATGATAGAAAATAAAAAGCTTATTGAATTAGACATTTTTCTCTCCAATTTAGTTTCTCCCCTATACGCAATCATGACAGACGATTTCGATCACACTTCACTAACGATGATCTGAAACTCCTCCTCCGAGGATTCATGTCATACCTCGGAAGACGTTCGGAACTGGAAGATCTCCAGATATCCCGAAATTTATAGTCATCTTTTTTGTTATTCTCGTGAAAGCTAGGATGTTCTCATTACTCAATATTTGTACATATTTTATAGCGCTACAGTATATTGTTTGACAAAAATTGACTCCGCGGAACGGATGAATTAAATCCAGGATGAAGAGTGGCGGCAAATTGATTTTCGATGCATTTGTTATCGTGATAATATTGAAAAGTATTGACGGATTTAATCTGGATGTGTCCAGTCCGGTGATATTTGAAGATCCCGGAACCGGGGGAAAATGGAACCAGAGGCAGTCTTATTTTGGATATTCCATCGCCCTGCATAACAATTCCGGCAGCAACCCTGGTGCATCTCCTATCACTTGGTGATTCTGACAGCACTGCATTGGGATTCTCGAAATTCTCAAAGTGCTTCATATATCTATTTTGAAAACCTTTAAAATTAAATTAATTGAGTTGACGTTCAGTTCATCGTTATTTTCATTATTGAACGCCAAATAGAACCGAGGTTCAGATCATTCAACTAACCGCTGTATGAATCATGGAATAATATTTTTTACCGTCATTCTTATGCAGACAGATAGGGGAAAATAAGCAAACTTCAAATAATGCTCAAAATCATTGCCATGTCTGGAATTTTGTTTCATTCGGAAAATCTACTTGTGAAGGAAGAACATCCTGCGTGACAATTATCGTATAGTTGCCGCACAAAATCGTCCGAGAAAAGTCATGCAAGTTCATAATGAGGGAAAACTGTTTTTTGACGAAAAAAAATAAAATTCTGAGCATAAGCCAAGAAAAGTTCGTAAATTTCCGAATTCCGTTGAAGCTCTCACGCACAGAGAACTTGAAAATTTGATCTAAGGCACTTTGTATACAGTACTTACTTGGACCTTTGCCTTCCAAAAGTTTAATGAAAAAAAATGTTCTTCAGGGTACTGGTCGGTGCCCCGAGAGCCAACAGATCGAACCCAGCGTATCCAACCATACAGCAAGGATCAGAACCGGTTGTAGAACCCGGTGCATTGTACAAATGTACCTTGTGGGCAGATGTTGATTCCTGCACGGAAGTTATCCTAGATCGCACAGGTATCCATCCTTTTTTCGCGTGTTCAAAAATAAATCTCTGAGCAATTTCCAGAAATTATTAAAAATTAAATCTTGAAAGGAAATGAGGAATGGACAGACGGCGTGACTATGTACCATGACTTGAAGAACAACGGATGGGTTGGCGTCAGTCTTGATGCACAACCACACAGCGATGGAAGAATAATAGTGAGTTGTGACTTGTGAGTACTGTATCATGTAAGAGGAAATCGGAAAATTTGCAGTCAAAGCTTCGAATCATCGTAAAAAGCATTTAATTTGATTGAAAATTGGAGAGTCGATTTCATGCAATCAATACTTTCGTTCAGTAAACTCTGTTTTTACGCACGTTTTTCCGCGTTCCTCCGATTTGCAGAAGGACGGCGAAGTTTCTTCATGAATCAGGGGAAGAAAATTAATCACTTTGATAAAAACAAATTGGATGGAACATGGAAGCAACAGGATACGGTTATTTGTTGGTTCTTCACTTTCAGAGGAACAGCAATTGAATAACAAAATTATAGTAGATTAAAAATTAATCTAAAAAACCACGTTTTCAAAAAGCAAAAAATAACCTATGAGTGAAATTTGAGTTTCAAAATTTGATCCAGACAAACAGACAAGAAAGTGAGTTCATAAAAACATGGTAAAAAAAAATAGAGTACATACTTGTCAGAGTGGAAAAAGCGTTCCGAAAATTCTTGCGTAATTGTCACTATCCTGTATAATGACATTTGGACCCGACGTGAGAAAAATGTTAGTGATCCTGACGAGAGATTTTTCAGACGATTTAAAATTTCATGATCCTTGTCTGAGGGAAGACAAAAATTCTGATTTCCTCTTGGAGTCAAACTTAAATAGACTTTCTTCGTTAAACAAGCTTCTTTCTAATTTTGAATGACCTTTCAATCTCTAAATATCGAACAGAACCAGAATCTGGTATTCGATTCGTCTTTGCAATACGACATTGAAAGTTAGATTATCCAGGTTGATGATCTTTATCGGCTAATCAAATATCCCAGATAACCAAGTAGTGTATTTCAAGGGTTTATTACAGTCGACGAACAAACTAAAAATGACCAGATGTTAAATTTTTGGTATTTCAATTGATCTTGAAGTGCATCAGTCCTTAGCATTTGTCGGTCCAAGTCAAAAAAGGAAAAGTTCTAATCATCCTAAACAAAGGCCCTTTTCTCCTCTGTTTTCTCGGCATAGTTTATCAAATGTATGATTAATCCAAGCCCTCCTCATAGAAATTTTCGATAAATTTTAATGAATTCTCGAAGTTTAATCGTTGCTTAATCAATTAAAGTAGCAAGATGAAATACTGTAGCCTTTTCCTGCTCCGAAGATTTGCGGCCACCTGTGGAAGCAGCAGATAAGAAACAGGTTGAAGAACGAAGCGGAATTTTATTTGCCAAATGGAGCGTGCTACTGGTTCTCGGCGCAGGCTTTGCTCACTTCCCAAGAGCCCAAAAAATTGATACCACTTCTTCCTCAAGGTACTGCGAGCAGCAAATATTGTTCTTTTATTCGAAAAGACCACTAAATGGATGCTCGAATGATCCCGACAAACCATTCTTTCCCTATGTATGCGTGAAGATGTCCTGCAGTTATTCAGTATTATGCAGCGCTTTAAAATCAACACAATTAAATCGTGCGAATTAAAAAAAAAAGAAAAGAAAAAAGAAATACACGAGGCGAACCAATGACGAGGTCGTTGTTGAAAATACTGTGTCTCCTCAACGAAGAAAGATGTCACGTTCCTATTTGATTGACGTCTAGTTTTCTGGTTCCTATTGAATATTATACTACCAGTCGGAATACAAATATAAGTACAGTATTGTATGCTGCATAATAATTTCACTTGCGACAGAATAAGGTTTTCTTGTCCCAGATCTGCGCGGCCTCAGTGAACCAAACATAATTCAGTTAAAAAAATTCGATAATTTCTTATTTTATCCAAGCCAATCTTTAGACCAATAATTGAAATGAAAATTTAAGACGTACAAGCATTATTTTTCGCGAAAGTTTATCTCTTGGGGTGAAAAAAAACTCAACTGTCGGAATTCATTTCATCAAACACTGTAATCGAATTCGTTGGCTTCAACATTGAAAACTATGATGCAACCGGACTTGAATTTTTCTTGATTAAATCAAAGGTTCAGGGTGAAATTCAATTTCGGAAATTCACTTTTGAAGCATCTCACCGCATGTAAATTAAATTATTCCTGAGGATGTATCACGTGTTCATTATTCGGAAGCAATGAAAATCAAAGCAAAGTTGAAGATTTTTCGTCTTTTTTTTCAATCGGAAAAATGTATCCACCTGTAAATTAATGCTGTGTTATTTTTTTAATCTTTTGGAAACGACCAAGATTCCTAACGCACATTTCAAACGGCTCGCTGCCCAATATTTCTGCGCGGTTTAATGCATTTCTATTCAGAAAGGGACGTCGGTGTATATTCACGGCTCGGTAGACCGAGGCGATTTTTTCGCGACACGCTCTTGTGCAAGGATCTTCTTTGTTTTGATTGAGTTTGACTGAAGAACGTGACTGGTTTGCGAGAGTTTGATATCGACTCACAGAGTTCCAGACGGTGGATATGCATCCTCCGAACAAGAAAAACGAATACGTCTATGCACTCGGTCAGGCTGGGACTTCCGTGCACTTTCCGGACGATCCGTCCCAGGTGGTCCTTGGCGCTCCAGGCATGTTTTCTTGGCGAGGTCAGTTCCTCTCTTTCTCTCTATCTCTCAAAATACTACTTCACATGTCAATTAAAGGGTTGGCACGAGAAAGAAAACAAAAATAGAGGGATGCTCAAGCAGGAGAAAATATTGTCCATACAGTATTCATATTCTTGATCTTAGGGCATAAAATACAATTGATAATGTGGATTGCATTGAACAGCAAGCCTTATTTTCCACTTTTCAGCCAAAGCCTTGGTAAGTTTTGCGGTTCACATTTACTTGCTATAGAAACCTGTGATGCTGACGAACCGCCGCAATTTGTGCCGAGACGACGCACAACTGTTTGCTTTTACTGAAGAAGATGTCGCTCCAGGTTATCAAAAGCTGCGGCGAGATTACTTCATTTAAGAGAAAAGTTCAAGATTTATTTAAGCAGTCTGCCTCGAAAACCTGCATCCTCTGAATAAATGAATAAAAATTCTTTATTTTAAGCTTCATCATAAAGTGCTTGAGATGTCGAGAATGTCCAAGGGACTCAAGGTAATCCACCTTGCGAAGAGCAGTGAGCAACGATTCGCATTTTCATGGGATACGACTACGAGTGCCTGGTGCCTGCATGGTCTTAAGCCTTCTGCGAAAGCGCCTTTCAATTTCTAAACAATTTTAATGGTTCACAATATTTCAATGTCATGTAACAGATTTATTATGCAGGAGTCGCGGATTACATTTTCGAGAATAATTTTCATGCGAACATATAATTTCTGCACTGTCCCCAGACTTGAAAACCACGTCGCCATATAATGTACTACGTGATTGAAAAAAAAAGAAGAAATGATACGGATCACTTGCGTCAAACCATTTCATCGATTTCAAAATTATTGAATTTTTACGAAGAAATGATACGAATCACTTGCGTCAAGCCTTTTCATCGATTTCAAAATTTCAAGAAGATTGCATTTTTACACAGAAGCTTGGATACCATAATAAATTTCTCGCAGGCGTCAACAAAAATGTAGAAAAAAAAATTACACATCCGTTCATGAAAGCAGCATATGAGGAAAATTCCAAAATCCGAAGCTGAAAATTCACTGAGTGTTGACACTTCAAATTGGGAAGTGAAAAATGTATTACAATTACATTCCGTGAATATATACGGCGAATAGTTAAACTAATTAAAATTGAAAAATTCAACGACAACCTTGGTTATAATGCGCGCTTTTATCAGGCGTTAGTTTTGTCATCAGCTGTCACTGAATTTCGAGGCAATCCGGGGAAAATGAAATTTAGCATTAAAAACTCGAGAGAAAATAACGGAAATTTCTTGTTCTTCGAGGGTGACTCGCAGGAAAGTCGAAAGTTCTTTACCATATCACGTCATTGCAGATAGATGCCTTTTCAAAACTTGCATTTCCTTGATGATTAAAAACAAATTTAATGATCTTGCCATAACCACCTATAGGCTTTAGTCCAGATAATTACGTTTTTAATTTACATCGCAGAAAATTTTAAATCAGAAGCGGTGGAAAGTATTTTTAAACAGTATATATATACAGCAGTTTCTATCGGCAGGCGCAAGACATTTTGCATCAAGTAATCCAGGCACATACTATTCCGGTTGTTCGCAGGGTCGATCGTTCGGATTCAGGATCGACTTGAGTCTGGAGGTGCTGCTGTCGCTGCGGCTGCTGCTGTGTCTTCTTCAACGTCATCCTCTGCCATGCACCGGAACTACACGGAAGTAACAACATCTCAGGGGAAGCGAAACTCGACAGCTGCTTCCGGTAGCTTCGTCGAAACTCGCGCCCCCTGGCTCTTCTACACACCGAATGTTCTAGGAGGCGACTTCTGGGGTGAGTTTCCTTTGCGAATCTTACGTCATTCAAGTGCGGTCGTTCCCCGCGTGATAAAACTGTTATACTCTGTCCCTTTAAATAGTTTTGCTATGAAACAGTTTTGCCATGAAAAAAAAAACAAACATCGGCTGTTAAGATTTCATTGCAAAAAAGGAAAAATACTGTAATTCGTTCCGCGCCGAATACAAAATTTTAACCTCCCCCTGCTCAATAATGAGTGTTCTTTGGTAAGGAATACAAATAAAGGAAAAAGTACACAAATACGAGAGATCGAAAATTTTCCATGATTATCAAATCTTCGACGACAGACAAAAATGGTTCTCACAAGTTTCAAGTTTTTGATGGACGATACCCGATTTTTTCGGTCCTTCGTTTATGATGCTTGCCCTGGCACCTCGGCTGAAATTTCTAATTTTCAGTGATAAATACTGTAGCTAAAATTTACGAATTTTCCGTCTCGAAGTTTGTATGTTGATCAAACCTGTTGTGTAACATAAGTTGTCTCTAAAAATTTGTATGCAACATTTTTATGGTATGGTATTTTGAAAACAAGGACTCATTGTACAGCCCTGCCGCTGTTAATGAACTCGATACTTTACAAGTTCGTTATTCGAGAACTTCGAATGCAATGATTTCATAAAAATGCTTTGAAATTATTGTCCGTATTATTGAAACCCATCACAGCACCCAGTGCATGTTTATAGACGAGTTATTGAGTTCTTGCTCACGGAATACGATATTAATTTGTAAAGTGCGTTACTTACTTATTGCGGAAGACTTTTAATCCCCGAGACCAGCTCCGGAAATGCACCGAGTAACCAAATGCACAATAAATGAAGGTCGCAAGAGTACAATGCATCGTCCTTTTTTCAAATGCATGCTATTAAAACAAAGAGTACACATTCGCCACAACAATAAAAACAGCCAAGGGGAAAAAATACTCAGACAGAAAAGACACATGTCTGCATGTTAGCACACACCTTATTGAGTCAATTCGATTCAAAAATTATCCAAGAGCCTTAAATTCAGGCTCAAAGCAATAGGAAACACAAACAGAAAACATCCTGGTTGGAACTCATAATTCGTAACTGATTTTATTCGTTTCGATGGGTCAACGAATTAGGACCACCCCATAAGCAAGGTTCAGCCTGAAAATGTTAGACCCAATCAAATCAGCAAAGGAGCCCGCATTTTACGGTTTAAACTGAACAGAACCCGTAAAATATTTTCTAGAATATGATACTGTACATTAAGTTTTTTTTCTGGTAGGAGAAAAAAGCTTTCTCGGAATTTCTCGTTTATAAAATAAATTACACAACGCAGCTAAAGCCACAAGATATAAATAAATTTTAATATACTGCTATCAGCTGAACGTAATTTTTATCATTTGCGAATTTTCATACTACTGTATAATCGGAAAATATTACGGCTTGAAAACTCTTGGTCAACCCTGTATATTCATTATATTCATTATCAAAGGTCATGGAACTAACGCATAAAGATGAACGCGGCACTCTTGCAATAAAAGGCAGAACGTGCCTGCGAGAACCTGATTTAGATCAATCTTCTGCAATTACTTCTATGCTTCTCAGCTCTCATAGTACGTCCCTGTATTACTTTGGCACGTCTGATGCGAGCTTCAAGATGGCCATGAGACACGCAGAAATCCTGCTATGGGGTCAACGATATATATCTGTAGGTCAAACAGCGACGAAGCTGTAGTGTAGTATTGCCCCTCGCTGCGAGGCATATTTCCCAAAGAAGAGTTGGACATATGACACACAAATATCAATATCCTCGTATTTACTCGTGTAAGGCATGCCCAACTTTTTTTTCTACCAAAAAAAGATAAGCTCTGCATTCTACACCCATCCGAATCATGACAATAAGGGTCAACGAGTTTTTTCTTCGTTAAAAAGAATAGCGCAAATAGAAAAAAACGGTCAAAACCGGAATACGGACAAATCGTGACAGACCACTACAGAGTGGACAAATTGAGTCGGAAAAATTTGAGACAAGGCCAATTTGTGACAAGGACAATTTCAGACAGGGTGATTTAGAGACAGACGATTGGAGACGTGGAAATTTAGAGACAGGGACAATTTGAGACAGTTCCAAAACACTTTGTTTTTTTTCGTTGAACACTCAATTTTCAGTTTTTTCCAAGATTCTCCCCCCGCCCAACTCTGCACGCAACATCCGACTGGTAACATAACTGGACATCCGACATGTATACATACACCCATTCATTCCCCAATATTGAAGAAAAAGCAGCAGTAAAATTTTATTTAAAGCACGAGGTCTTCAGCCTGTTTCTGTATGAGTTTTAGTTCAATGAATAATTTAGACTTCGTTGAATTCCAGTACTTGTAAATCTATCTTAAGCTTGTTTCTATCAGTATGAAATCCTGGACATAAGAAGAGAAGGTGCTCTGGTGATGCACAAACTAATGTATTTATGCTGCAGGTGTTACACAGATGTTATACTGCAGATGTTATGTATATACTATATAGCCTTGCATGTTAAAATACTTAAAATGCAGCAATTGAACTTGATACTGTATTTTCATTTCTATCTACAGGTTACTCTGTGAGTTCCGGGATTTTCCTTCGGGACAGAAGACAGATGTACGTAGCTGGGGGACCACGTGCTGGCTGGACAGGAAAGGTAACGAAGAGATTACAGTATTTTAAAATCTTCAGGCCCAGTTGACAATATTTAGCGCTTCTAATTAGAAACCCTCGAGTGGGAAGAGGGTCTCTCTTAATGTATATTTTCCATCATATGTATGCCTCGTTATGTATGCAAAGTCCTTCCGAGCTGTCTGCCTGCGTCTGACGTCTTGACGCGATGCATTAAAGCCGAATTTAGTTTAAAAGCGAACGCTTATTTAGCAAATGATGATTCATGATGGAAACCAAACCATAATACAGAACCATCCGCGTTCCGACGTTCCACGTTCCAGAAATGAATTTGCATCTTTATATCTCTATCTGCAATATCTCACATGAAAATTCCTAAATGATTCAATGCAATTCGCTAAAATCAAAAAAGATGGTTAAGTCTCTATATAGTAACATTTTAATTCAATTGGGGCTCATCATATGCATCTGATGAGAATGGCAATGAAGATTCTTAAGCAAACGCTTTGACGGCTACAGTACAGTATTTTACTTTATATTCGACCAGGTATTCTACTTCATAAATTAATTTCATAGCCGTGTTTTTCGCCTAAATTCTTTATATTATATCAAGTCTGTCAACTGAGAAAGCATTTGGTTAGATTGCATTCAGTTGATATTGGTCGGCGTATTTTTGGTCAAGTTTTTGATTCAAGGGACACCTTTCTGACGTTCTGGCAAGACAGAAGAAATGATTTTAAAAGCGAAATTTCTCTCAGTAAAAATTCACTGATGGTATACTGTAGTCGAACATTGATGGGATAAACGATCAACAACTTTGAAGAGTTTCAGTTGACTTGCATTTTTCAAAGAGCATTAAATACTGAAAATTATTTTAGCGCCATCTATTGATCTTTAGAATACCGTTCCTATGATGGCTGGCACCTCGAATAACGCAGAAAATTTAGAAGAGTGCCCTTACAAGAATACATGTTAATTTTAGGGGAAATGCTTTTTGATTGTAAGAAGGCAATGTTCGGAATAATCAAATGACGCTGATTGAATCAGGCCGTAATCTCACGAGCGTTCTCCTGGAAACGTTCCTGTTGAAAAACTGTCGACATATTAAATTTTAACGGAATTCGCAGGTGTTCATCTTCTCGTATCCAGAACCAGGATCGGACAAGGATCCCCTGATCGTCCGCTGGGCATTCTCCGGAACGCAAGTAAACAATCCCCCAACCCTTTTGTTTAGTCGGAATAGACGTAAAGTTATTCCGATAATGAAACGACACTATATACGGACAATAGCAGATATTGTGGAACATGTATGGGACAAAATCTTGAAAAAATTCCATGAAATATTCAAGAACCGTAAACGAATTTGAGAAAAATGAACAACTTGGGCGAACCAATTCGCAAGGCAATGTAAACGGTTTATTTTTATCATGCGGCTTAATCATATGGTGCAAAAATTAACATCTTGAAAGCAAAAAAAGAACGAATAGACGAATACTGTACCTGTCAAATATTTCGAGCAGTTCGTCGAAGTATTCGACACTGAAGAATCCTCCAATCATCATCAATGCGGCGATCACTTGAGTACAGTATTCGCCTCGCTTGCCTACAATTTTTTTTAGCACATTATTGCCTAGAAAAAAAAAAACTTGCAGTAAATTCCACATACTGTATTCGTATCTCAAAAACAGATTCCAGAAATGAGTTTCCACTTATAACTGTCATCAGTGACCATGGATGTCGCTCCTTTGCTTTCACGTGGGTAATCTTTTTTATCTTCGAATTGTCCGCCAGGGTGGCGAGTATTTCGGCGGAGCGATTTGTGTCGTTGACGTGAACTCGGATGGGCTTGACGACCTTCTTATCGGGGCTCCACTCAACAGCGTGGCTCAAGACAACACTGTGTATCCTGACCAGGGCAGGGTCTATGTTTACATCAATCATAACGAGGTAACTTGCATTATCCTTCCTTTCAGTCAGCAAGTGTATTCTCTCGACAAATTTCGACGCAAGAAAAATGGTCGACCGTCACTCAGAGACCCAGTACAAGGGAAAGCCTTGTCGGCATCACATAATTGTTAAACATTTAAATTCTCCAATCATTCCTGCTTTTACGAGCGTCGAAGAAAATTTTGAATCACTGCAGGAGCACGCGATGTTTAATAATTGTGGCTCTTCTGTTCAGTATATTAAAATCTACATTGAAATGCGGTAGGACTTCGTGAACCTTTCCTTCATCGGTTCACACGCACTGAAATATTTACAGTATTTTTCCATTTTCTCGAAAATGAGAAATAGTCATTGAATAAACCCCAGAACTAATTTAAGAAACTACTTTCGTAAAAATAGACCGAATATGAGAAATTATCAATTCTTTGAAATGTGCAGAGAAAATGTATTTTTCCTCTGCATGTTTTGGATATAAACTATAAGCCCAACCTGCATATTGCTGAACATACGTTTTTTCTTTTTAAGAACAGGTTAAATTTCGTATTAAAAATTAAAAAATGTATATTGTTGAACATACGTTTTTCAAAATAAGAAATTGTTTCAAGGGCCTGCTGGCCAAAACTCCATGAACTCAACGCTAAATGAAACTCGTCACGGGGAAATTTCAAATCCAGCACAGAATTTACTATTTCTTTAAGTTCCTGCGTTTTCCTCATAAATATGGGTAGCATTACAAATTAAATTTAACAGATACAAAATTTGTTCTTCTGCTTCAGCAAATTTTTGTTCAAATATTTTGATGTTTCCAGAGAATACTCCGGTTTGAAGAAAGTGATATATTTTCAGAAAAACCAATGCAACATTTTTTTAAAGGGAATACCAACATGAGGTAATTTTTGCTGTGAAAAATTTTCCCAGGATTCCCAATAGTTCGTTGTGATCAGACTTCTCCTGCATCCACCTTTTCCGTGATTCGTAGGCATTTGTAAGTAAAGAATTACTGACTTTAATTCAGACAGTCAGAGATTTCAAGTGTTTTTAATTGCGGTCGAATGTCTGCAAGAGATTCAATCCACATATTTAAGAGAATATAATAAATAATCAGTGCGCATTCATAATGCTGGCGTGAGCGAGAAAATGCCAAAAAAAAAAACCCAGAACCAGACCTTAATCAACTCGTGTTAATTCGACAGCGGAGAAACGCTCAGAAAAAAAAAGATGACGAATAAAAGAGGAAACCCGAGTGCGAAAAAGTTGATTAGTTCTGTCTGCTGCGTGCGGGATTTTTATTTTTTTTTTCGTGTCGTCATCGCTGTCTCATTTGTGATTGTCCCGCAGAACTTCGCGGATATGGCAGACAAGCAGTTGACGAGCAGCACTGGGTTGGAAGCCAGGTTCGGACTCGCCATTTCCGCCATTGGTGACATCGACAGAGACGGATTTAACGGTAAGTGCTGAAGTACTTCTGATGTATGACTGCATGACACTCAAACGCCAATAAACAAGCAGGTTGAAATATTCCACCCGGGTACTCGAACTGCATCAGATTCTTTGCCTTCACTTTCCCATCTGAAAGCTTAACCTGAATTGCTCAAGGCTTCGATTTATATAAATAAAATACCTGTATATCCGAGGTGATAGAAGAATTCAAGTGAAACGTCAATAAATCAAAAGCACTATACAGTACTTCATTTGCAGAAAGCAATTAAATGTGACAAATTTCAATTCGTTCATAGGAAATGCGGTTTCGCAGTCGAGTAAACCATTCAAATCAAGGCTGAAAGCTCCACATCTACAATTGGGTTATTTATTTATTCATTGGAATACGACTTTTCTTGGAATTTGTTCTCTTTTACTGCGCGACCTTTGCCATTTATAAATACAGTATAATATTTCCGCCTTGAATATTTTTGGGGGATGAAGTTGATAATCATTTCAAGGTAGTAGTGTATATTTCAAGCATCAGAAGAAATACAGTATTCGAGCTTCCCCATCAGGAAAAATCGCAATCTTCGGTTGCTTTTCTCAAGATTTCATCTTCGTTCCGCGCGAAGCAGGATTTTGAACACATTATTTTTTGTTTGAATGCAGAAAGTACTTGCGCGAGGATTCAATTTCCTGGATTTAATGCTTACCACCGAAAAAACTTCTCTTTTCATTTAAAAAATGAAATCCGCAGATGTTGCCATCGGTGCACCTTACGAAAACGACGGGCATGGAGCTGTTTACATTTATCTGGGAAGCAAGGCTGGATTGACGACGGCTTCGCAGATCATTCAAGGAATCTCCATTTCAAAGCAAATGTTCGGCTTTGGAATATCCATTTCACGGGGAATCGATATGGATCGCAACAACTATCCTGGTAAAAGAAATCATTGGAAGTACCAACACCGCTTTGAATCGAAATGGTATGATACGAGTGACACCTATATTCAGATATAATTTATAAAAATATTTTGATGCAGTGATTCAAAAAGTCAGATGATTCATGAATGAACATTTAGAACCGGTCCATCAATCAAGAAGAACGAAAACTGCTGTTGCACTTCTCTGATTTCCGGCCAGTGTCCCGTTTTTCAAATTTAAACTCTCCCATTTTCTGATTTTGCTTTATAAATTATACCTGGATTTATTTCTTCGGAAGACTATGGATTTTTTTTGAATTTCCTGCCGAAACAACTCGATGGAATGATCGTCCGTAACATGAGCTGACGAATAGTCGAAAAAATCTCCATGATATATTGTGTGCTTCACATGCACTACTCTAGGCTCGCAAAATCAGCGACATTTTGCAAAAGTTCGTGAGGTCATCAACCGGCCAAAAAATATAAATGAAAATCCTGTCGAAGCACTCAAATACTGTATACGTCAATGTGAATGAATTGGATACACATTTTGGCTTCTGGTGGGGAAGAGCACAAATTCGACAACACTGTAAAAGAAGAGAAAAAATGTTTTAGCTCTTTCGAGACTCGGGCTGTAGAATGGTTATCGTCAGGGAGATAGAAGAAAATTATGGGAATCCTCAAGACAGGGTTTATATATTCACTTTAAAAATAAGATAAATGGAAACAATTGTGGCATCCTTATAGAAAGAAAACTTCTTCTCCGGAATTTTTTTTTTGATTCTTAGCGAATAAATCACAAGGAATTTTCCGAGTAATTTTCTCATTACAGGCGTCAAGCAGCAGTTCTGGATTGATGAAAGATTTTTTTCAATTCCTGTATTCGATGGTAAACATCAAATCCAGCAATATTTCTTTTCTGAAGTCATTCCCTGTCTTCTTTGGGTTTCTTGATGTAGTTGATCAGGATTCTGTCCTTGTTCGTACGATTCATGTCCGTGGCTTCAGAAAACTGATGCTGCTCATGTGTTGTCGAGGTTTTGGGGATAGTCGCACATGAAAGGCTGCAATCAGTGCGGCGAACGGAAGCAAATTTTCTCTTCCGCAACAGAAACTCATTGAACTTCCCTCACTCACAAGGTTCAAACTTGTCCGCCGACCTGAATTCTCCCGCCGCATTTATTCTTCCAGCATAACTTGTATGCATTAATTGTGAGAAGAAAGTCTGATTGCGGCGCATTGTGCAGGAGATACTGCGTCTTATTCACAGCAGGGATTACTCAAATTGAATCCTTCCGCATCATTGAGGGTACAGTTTCCGTTTTTGGATTTCTCGGAAGATGATTGCACTTGTGGAACATTTTGTTCCCGAGAAAAAAAATTTAGCAGCTCAAGAGAAATAGAAATACAGCACTGTACTTGATCAGTTCGGACGCTGACACGAAATTGAAAAACGACCAAGTTTATCCATTCCAACAAATTGATCATGTTTCTCTAGTCACAATTCTCATAGAACAAGATAGAATAGAAAATTTAAAAAACACAAATTGGATGTCATTTCGACGAGAGAAAAAGTTCAATCATCTTTCAATACTAATGTATAAAAAAGTATCCGAAAGATTTTAATAAAATATCTTTCAATGTGCCAACACCAAATTAATTATTCGATAATGACTCATTTTTTGTAATGTTGTCCATTATTGGTTACCAGTTCAGAAAAGCGCCGAACGATTACGGGTGATGTTTCACTATAAAGTAGATTTTAGCAAAATGGCATCTATTCATTCCCCGAAACATTATTTCTTCGAAATTCTGGAACAAAAAATCAAAATATTATTTGCCATAAATAAGTACTGTACTGTTTGTTGTGAAATGATTGAATTTTTATAAAAACAAAGAGGCATGCGTTATAAATATGGTTATGCAGTACCAGGAAAGTTGGACTCCTGGAATGAAGTGTGGACTGTCTTTTAAAATGATTTTTTTATAAAAACCAGGAATCATGAAGAGCTAACAAGGAACCTAATGATTACTAAAAATGCTTGCGAAAGTTGTCCAACTTCAGCCGCTTAATATATCTCAAACGTGCTTTTCTTGACCTTTGGTCAAAAATGTCCTAGTTTACCAACAGGAAATTCCAACGTTTCCGCGGGACAAAAACTCCTTATTATCCAAGAAAGGATTTGAAATGCTTTGCACTTTGTTTCCCTTCTCACAGACATCGGAAAGGGAGCATTTTTCTCTGTCCACGCAGTCGTCTTGAGAACGCGGCCAGTTTTCGTTATTTCCTAAAAGTACTTTTCGTGACCCTTGGTCCAGAAATAAACGAGAAAAAAACCCAGCTCTTCAGCAGAAAATCCCAACGTTTCTCTGAGGCAAAAAGAAACCTCGTTATCCAAGAAATAATTTGAAAATTTTCGCACTTCGTTTCCCTTTTCACAGACATCGGAGTGGGAGCATTTTCCTCTGGCCACGCAGTCGTCTTGAGATCGCGGCCAGTCGTCGTAATTTCGGGCTCGTTGACTCCGTCTACCCACCGCATCAGCATCAATGACACTGACAAAAGCATCGGAATCGAGGCCTGTGTCACGTTCTCCGGCAAAGACGCCCCAAATGACATTGGTAAGGTGCACCCGAAAAAATAAAAATAAAAATCAGGATTAAATGACCTCGCTGGAAAAGCCCCGCAATAAAACGCCCCCGTTGTCATGATCGCCTCGTTTTCCACGCGACTCACGATTTCGCCGCGATTATGACCTGAAGGACGTGACCCCGGGGTTTCATCAAGTGAGGGTCGTTACGTTGAGTACCTGTTGACCTAGTATAGTCGGGAAATCCTCCCCCAGTGTCTCAAAATTTCCGGAATAAAAATAATTGAAGACTTGCGTTTTATTATTGACCACGTCTTATCGGAAATTCAAGGGAAATGGTAGTTTACGCTGTCAGCGTATATTCCCCTTTTTCTTTATACTGTAATATAGTAAACTTTTTCTGAAGAAGAGAACGATAATTTGACAATTGCGATGCATTGAGAAAAAAGGTTTTGTATCTGTAAGGAATTAAGGGATTGAAAATTCACAAGGAGCGGGATGAGTTTCAAAAATATCCTAGACTTCCTAGACTATGATGATAATTGTTTTTCACACATGTTTCTTTCGTTTCGCAGATGTTTCGATGGGAATTCAAACTGATGTAAGGTACTCCATTCCGAGAGTGAAATTTGTCTCCGGGGATTCTCAAATATCGTACAAAGTGACGCTCAACAAGGATGCTCCTGCCTGTGAGAAATTCAAGCTCGTTTTCGTGGTGAGCATCGTATTTATTTCGTGATCTAATTAGTACAGTTTACTATATTGCATTTCGATTAAGAGTAAACAAAATAAGGTAATTGATGGCCTTGGAATTTTCACTTATTGAGCCGCTTCATTCCCTAATGTTGTTTGCCGTTTGATGGACTTCAAAATATTCGAGGATTCTCTGCGGTATTATTTGGACAACACATCAGTAGTGAATTTTATTGCACCTGATCTCTTCGAAAACATCTTTCGTAGAGTCTAAAGCTCTGTGAATAAGCATGTGCCAAAACTACGGAAGGGAGATCAGAAAACTTGAAAGGAATTGAAAAGAAAGACGCTGGTCTTCCAAATTATAATGGCGGACAATCAAGTCCGTAATTCAACGGTACAGATCATGAACATGAGGAAAAATTTAAATTTGGACTGAGCATTTTGTGAAAAGATGGGGTCTATCAAATAATTAAATTTAAAAAAGCGTTCCATTTTTAAAATTATGATTTCTCAAAGTAATGCGGACTCTTTCAAACAATAACTTCGAATGAGATTCACCGAACAAATTTCCCGCTGTTGTACTTTTTAAGAGTTGTGCTACAGTATTTTGTTCTCGCAGGACTTATTTTCCAAAGGATAAAAGAAAAAAGCAATGGTCTTTGTATACCTCATTGCCAATTATTAAAAAAAAAAAACGTCCAGACGATTAGGTGAGAAATTTGCCTCAGAAATAAATGGAACTTCTCTTTCGTGCGCTTTGATCAGAGTTAGTTGTTTGAGTCCGTGTCTATGCAAGAATACTGTACGATTAAATATAGAACCCGATTTTCGGCGACCTTTCCACTCGATTTCCGCTCGCAGCCCTACGTGAAAGATTTCTCGAAAGCCCTGGAAATCCGGCTGAAGTTTGAGCAGATCCCGCGGCCACGCATACAACCTTTCGTCCATCTGCTTAGAGCGGGTGAAACCTAGTTTATGTGTTTAAAAGGGTAGTTGAGACGACCCAGGCCTTTGCTGGCTTAGCGTCCTCCTTGTTCAGTCTTATTTCGACGTCTAGGTATGCATATTTTCGCAGCATTTTCGCACGATTTTCTTTTCTACAAAAGCTCAATTTTTGAATGATCGCTGCTCAGGGCTTGCTGGATTGAACCGATGTAAGAATAAATTTAAAATCGAAAATATCCATTTTTTTTAGCTGATTTCAGTATTACAAGTACGAGGTGTAAGTGTTATAGCTCGCTGCAGTATCTAAGTCAAAACAGATTTTTGAGGAATAATCTTCCAATTTTTGATATGATGCTGAAAAAAATTTCGAGACAATGCAAGAGGTGTTTCAATAAACAGAAATCCACCATGAAGGACACACAAACTGATCTTGTGATAACTCAAATTTAGAATAATATCAAGCAAATATGCAACGAACAATAGGCTTTTGAATGCTGAGTGATTGCAAATTAATCGTGGAATATCATAGAATCACCAACGAGCCATTTGCGAAGCAGTGATGTGCCCATGATTTCAATGCCTTTTCACCTGAATGTCTGTCTATATAAACATGATACGGCATTCCAAATGCAAGCCCTCAAATATCCTCGCATAAACCCAAATTGTCAGTCGAGACTCGAGAGTCGGGATATCCGTGAAGCCTGAAACGGTGTACAGTTTTTGAAGAACTCAAGTGTGGCCCATAACCCATTCATGGCACTCTTTTAGGACCGGCCCTCGGGGAATTCTGCAAGTCTTGCGCTGTGGCCGACCCGCGGGTGCAGAATCAGGTCAGCACCGCAATCTCCTTCCTCAACGATTGCAACGACGAAGTTTGCGTCACGGACCTCTCCATCTTCGCCACATGGAGTGACCTCAAGTAAATGAAAGCTCAGCCAGACATATCCGTTTCTCCCCCCCCCCCCCTTCCAACTTCCCGACTGTTCTGAGAAAAAAACCACCTCGATAAAGTGTTACAAAAAAGAAAAAAGAAAAAAAGAATCGAATTCGACATTAAAAAACAACAGGTACAATCCAGTGGAGGATATTCCATTCACTCGATTATGCATTCGAAAGCTCTCTATATTTTCCCCGAAATAATAAAATTCACTTGTGCAGACGAATGTGGGTTTAAAGAACCACTTGCTTCGAATTATGCTAAAAATGCATTATCCAAGATATGCGAAGAAGTAGATTCACTTCTCAAATTGAGGAACTCGGCTGAAATCCAGAAAACTCCAATTTAAAATATTATGAATACCTCACATTATTTTTTGTAGCTAAAATAACCTGAAAAGCATTGCTTTGATTACCATTTCAATTTCAGAACAGCATCCAGAATCATAGGTGCCAGAATTATTCTCACATATTCCATTCGAAAAAAAGATTGTCTATTAATTCAAAAATAGGCGATCAAACAGTCCTCGGCTTTGGGCGGATTTTCGATGAATTTAGACGAAGCCGCAAATTTGTATGGAACGCAACTGAAAACAAGATTTCGAGGAATTATTTATAGACTCTACTTTTAGACTAAATTTAGACTCAATTTTAGTATATTTGTACACCACTTATATCCTGAGTTAAATGCGTAGAAAAGGGTGCTTCTTAAGCTTTTTACACCCTGCGTACTTACGAAGTCGTCTCGACTTCAAAAGATATATCTGTGCATAGGCATAAAAGATCCTTAAGGACCGAGAATCAAAAGTGCTCCCGAACTTACTGTTCACAGTACTCTACGTTAAACAAAGATTGTCATACAGACGCGGTGAGCAGTAGCCAAGCGTCTTTATGCGGTGAGCCGTCGTGACGGTTCAGGCCAACCTGGAGCCGGCGTTCGTGCCGCTGGCCAAAATCGAGTTCAATAAATATTTGACGCTGGTGTCTCTGCCAAGAAATTGCCGAGAGGACAAATTCCACGCCGAGAAAACCGTGGTTGAGTGCGAGTTACCTGGTCCGATGTATAAAGGAGCTCGGGTGAGTTTGAAAATGAATGTACAGTACCTGTAATTGCAAATCTCTAGATGTCAGATTCCACTAGTTATATCTGGAAAAAAGGCAAAAAGAATTTAGCTTTCACTTCGCCTTCTAATTTCCCCCAATGATCACTGATGCTCTGGATTGCATTTAAAATCAAAAATATCCAGGAAATTCTAGATGATTACAGCATTACAAGGACAAGGTGTAAGTTTTTTTTTTTAGCTATCTGCAATATCTGAGTCAGAACAATAATTAAAAGCATTCGATCATGGTTAAAATATCGCTCTTTCAAAATTACTCTGAATGTAATTTATTGCGTATGAGATACTGTACTAACATTTTTGTTGTTGACAAAATAATACTTTAAACCGGCCTTGTACCTTTTTCCGGATAGAAGATGTGATCTTCATCTCAATTTCAGGAGAAAAAATAGCAAAATGTATACCCTCTGAATTTGTATACAGTAGTAACAGTACTGATATTTTCAAAGGTGGCGGATTGTCTCGGAAAAGTTTACACAGCAATGCATCTTGGCTGAAGAACCTATTTCCGAGTCAAAGAATTAGAGCAGAGCTTTTTAACCTTTGTAACAGTTGTGCCAATTTTGAAGGGCGACCATTTTTGCGTTCCGCCTTTTACGGGTCTCCGAGTACTATCATGCAAATGTACTACAGAAAAGATTGTGAAAGGTCCATATGACTTGCGAAATAAAAATTTGTAAGTTAAGTGCTTCTATAGAATCTTCAATACAAATTACATACTGTATTTCGTTAATTCCAGTAGCCTTGTATTTAACTACAGTATTATACAAGTTTTCTTTTTACTCCAGGAAAACCAAGGTTACCGTCTGAAGATTCACTAACTACTTACCACAAGAGCTCCGAAGTATAGAATTTAGACTTTTTAAAGGAATTTCAATTTCCGGCGGAAGGTCATTTGGTAAATTAACGGCAATGTCATCCAGAAATGGTAAAAATTCAAAGAAGTGGCTGGAAATAACGTAGCTCCAAAGAGGATTGGGAGTGCTCATGAAGTATTGATATTGTTCCGATAATGAAAAAAAAACTGCTGGAAATTTCCCAACTTTAAAAAATTTATCGAGGAAAAGCAGTTGAAAAGCCTGAAGCACTAAGCCTTTTACTGAACGAGCAGCCGTAGCAATGTGTCTGCGCAAGCGCGTGTTTACTCTAGGAAAAGAATACCACAGAGCCTTTGCTTTTATTTCGCTACAGCCGTATATGAATGTGCCTTTTGCACGCTCGTATCGCAAGGTCGACATGACGATTGGACTGGATCTGACGATGCTGCGCGGCGACATGAAAGAGCTGCGAGTGAACATGTCGGTGACGTCAATCAGTGACGAGCATCTCAGCACCCGCGGAGACAACAGTTACAGCCTGGTTGTGCCGCTCGAGGCCAGGGCGGACATTGCAATCCAAGGGCAAGTGCTCATAAATCCTTCTTCTGCCTGACATTGGCGAAGGCCATCAAGAAACAAACAAACAAACACTCCCGAAGATCTTGCGCTCTTTTTCCAGCGCCCGCTAATTTCAGATCTGCTCTTTTTGTACGCTTTCTGCTGGGCGATGCTTGAAGCCCTCTCATAAAAATAATACTCCATTGAAGAAAATACATACACAGCCTTCTATGGGTTCCTTAACTGGTTTCTGCTGTTTTAATCATTTTGAAAATCGCACGAGGGGCTCCAAGGGTCCTTCAGCAGCTGTTTGCTGCGAAATCGGTTCCATGATATGAAATGGAAGTATCAGTACCAAGACATTTCCCGCGATTGCACTTCAATAAACACAAGGATGCACTTTGAATGGAAAAAATCTCTGAACTGCTGATATCAAAAGAGGGGACATTTAAGCTTTGAGGAGCAGCCCAGAAAATTTGCTCATGCTCCTGAGGTTTGCGTTGAAGAAATCCCACCATGATCTGCACCAGGAATGCCAAAAAATGTTACCTTGCTTTCCTCGCGTGCAAAACATTTTACATTGCTATCATGGTGCCAAGAATATCTCCTCCGTCGTATTTTTCTAAATTATCTTAGTCAAGAATGTAAACTTTCAAAACGCAGTGTGTGTGTTCCACTCACGCATATGTAGTGGCGAGTGAATCACCTGAGTCAGAACAAAGCCTAAAAAATAGCAGTATGCAATTTACAGAGTGTGTTTGTGGTAAATTATCCATAAATTGCACTTCTGTACGCTTGTTGCTTTCATGCTTGCTTATTTGTTCAGTTATTGCTCTGTAATCGATGCCTGTCCTTCGTGTTCACTTGTCCTCCTAAGCTTGCTCTTTTCAAACTCTCATGGGTTGACAGAACCAACAAGAAAGCGTTTTTCTTCTAGAAAATGTCACGAGAAAGATCCTTAAATCATCAATAGTTGGAAGATATTTAACTTGGAGACAAATTTGTAAATTAATCAGTGGACAAGTAAATGTTAGCAATTCAAAGCGAAAAAGTTTCGGATCTCGGTAAAGAGTCGAACTGGATTTTTTGAATGAATATCGTGATCGAATTCAAGAGATGAAAAAAAGCTTGAAAAGTTCTTTCTGGGATACAAAGTGTATTTGAAAGTTCTCATCTGTTATTCTATCATTCTGATTGCAGAGAATCTGACCGAGAGCAGCACTACTATCTCCTGAAGGAGGATCGCAAGGAAGAAGACAAAAACTCGGCCAACATATTCGAGATTAATCAATTCTTCCAGGTGAGCATCCTGCTGAGTGTTTTCATCAATCACAGCTCCGATCTGTCTTCTGTTTACCCACCTCATTTAATTATACTTAGAGTGCTCATGGTTCATATATTATAATTCTTGGTCAATCGAAAGAATCAGCCTCTGGGCGCGGAACTTTCCAGAAAGACGGAAAATGGTTCCTGAAAATTCAGCAAATGTCATTTTGGGATAAAATACGCGATTTCAGCCGCATGGGATTTTTATTTTGTAGAAGCTGGGGTTTGGCCTGAAATTAGGGGGAAAATTGCAATTTTCTGACGAAAAATGCGGCCAACGCACAGCCAAATCTGCTCATCTTTGAAGGAAAGAATTTACAAAATAATAAAACACAATCGTTTAGCAATTCAAGACTCGAAATGGGAAAAACGGAAAGTTAGAGTTGTTGAAACAGTTTCAGATGATGATAAATTACAATTTCAATTTAATGTGTGTACATATGTCAATCACGATTATTTCTGCGGATATAATAACATATTGAGTACATAAACGTAACGCAACAAATTCAAATGTGCCAAATGTACTCTCCTCCTCTAGTCTAGGCCGCGCCGGCGTTTTTGGGCGCTTTTTAATGTTTTTTTTTTGTGGAAAAGTTCCGTGCAGAAAATCGTGTAAAAACCGTGCAAAAAACTTATTTTTTTTAAAGCTTGTCTCAAATGACGCTTTCAATATATGATTCAACTCATGCACGTGATTTCCGTGTACATCAGGTGTCAAAGTATCTCCCAACCACCGTGGATCAAATCGTCGCGGAATTTCGTTTTCCGGTCGCGTTCGCAGACGCTTCACCGGAAGTCGTGGCTCATAACGGAGTCAGTTCAACCAAGGGCTCACATTTTCTGGAAGTCAAGATCCCGAATTCCACGGTGGATCACCACATTACTTGCGCAGTTCTCAAGGAGCCATCAGGAGAAAAAGACGAGGACCAGCAGCGACAGGAAAACCGCGGCGTCGTCAAGAGAGATGCTCCGAACGAGGGCTTCACCATCTCGGCTTTTGCAGAGGTTAATCTTCCAATTTTCATATTTAATCAAAATGTCTCTGGCTGGCATACCAAGAAAATTCCACGGAGATCAAATCCCACAGGTACATAATGTCGTGAAAATGGAGAATGAATGAATGAACAGAAAGCTTTTATTTTCCGCTTTTCGGCATTCACAAGGTTCAATCAACATTCCCAGATCCAAACCCCATCCCCACCCAACCCAAATCCATTCAATCACTTCAGAATGGGAAACAGAAAAAAGCTGTATATGGATTATGGATACAAAAATAAAAGAAAATACAGTCCACAATGTACAACTGCACAACTGATGTGTATGCATGCATCCTCTTCTTTCCCTGACATTGAAAACAAAATATCAGTAGCGAGAATTGCAGCAAGTGCCAGAATTATAGCAATTGCAGCAGTTACTGAACCCAATTTAAAGCACAAGGTCCTCAGCCTGTTCCCAGATATGGTTTAGTTGAATGAACAATTTAGAGAGAATCTTCAATGAGAAATCATATGAGGCCAACAGTTTATCTTGATCCACTATGACTTCAGAAAGGGTCTCCTCATTGAATTCCAATACTTGTGAATATTTCTTAAGCTCATTTATATCAGTATCGAGAATAATGAATGAAGAATAATAGCTTCAAACAAGTATTCAACAATTGAGAACATTTACATTGAAAGACAATTTTTACTTGTTTTTGGAGAATGAGAACCATTTTACAGCCAATCTTCAACGTTGCTTGAACGGATTTCATATTTTCTCATGTAGACAAATGCTGATATGATGGAGTTTTGCATTCATTATTAGTAAAAATCACCATGGAAAGTTCGTCACATGATTTTTCCCTTCCTCCGAATTTCACGTGATATTCAGTCAAGAATTTCCCGTTTTTAAATAAGTTTGAAAGACGTCAGATAATTCCAAGTCATCGCATATACAGCAGTATAACTGTTTAGAATGCCCACCGCATTGCCGTACAGCCGTACTGAATTAAAGTATTTTTGTTCCTGAACTGGCTTTCAGTACTTGCATTTTTCATTCGCGGTTTCTTTGGGATAAAACCAAATTGTGTTCCTTATTCCTCTTGAGCTCTTTTCAATTTCACGTCAGTTGAATACTAAAAAACGATATTTGACATTAAAGCTAAAATTCTGACCTAGATTGTCATGAAGTTGCAGAAAACCTGCAGCTATCGAAACTCATAAATTCGTGTTGGTTTCAATGGAGAGCTGTTCTGTACTTATGAAGGTTCCAAAGGAATTTCTTTCAGCAGCAAAGAGAATTACTATAAGCTGGAGGGGATTTTCATACTGGACATTTTGCTTCACGATACATGGGAGGAAATACGAAATGAAGTTCGACAGGCTATTTAGAGATGTCAGACCTGAAATATTGCTCTAAATTTTCAGACACGACTCGACATCCGGTACTTCTCGAAATGTGAGATTTTTTGCTTCGCTGGAATGGGGAATCAGTCTGGAAATTTCAGTCAAGTCGGCTTCACTCAAAAATTTGGAAACGTGGAGATTTTCGAGCATTTTTAGCTTTAAAAGTCACACTTTCTGATAACAAAACTTTTATGCATGTTAGAACTGTTCAGATTTCTACTGGAAATTATTTCATCACTATAGTCATGATGAAATAATTCAGGTGGAATGCAGAACGATTTCTCAATCGAAAGCATGACTGTATCAGATAATAGGAGCGTTTTTCACTTTTTGCGTGAAGGTCAAGGTGAATGTTGCACTCAAGGGGATGTGCTCCTTGCTTAAATATTGCATCAGCAACTCCTTTTGCAAAAACTGATTTTCAGTTTACAATTTTGTTTAACATAATACAGCACAGTGGAGTCTTAGCTGAAGAACATAATTCATTCCACCATGATGCTTTTTATAGCTGGAATGTGCGTAAGCTGAATTATAGCCCAGTTCCGCTGCATTTTAAAGGGAAATTTCAAATTTTTGCCCACAAAACTGGATCCCTGCTCATAAGCCAGACCTCCCAATTTTCAAGTTATCTGGAAAGTACTATAGCAGGTGTTAGTCAACTGAAAATCATACATGTTATGAAGATATAAGAACCCTGAATGAGTCGATTAAAGCCGTAATTTAATGTTAAATAAAAAAGTAGTTTTAATGACGTCGCATTGATGTCAAGTAACCAATGACGTAGTGATATAATATATCACCTTCTTTTCTTATGCTCAGCATTCCACACCATATAAGAATTGAACTTTCAAAAGATTTCGAATTTTCACAACTTGATCCCAAATCTTCAAGTAAAAAGAAAATGTGTTAGCTTTATATGATTTATCCTCCAAGACTAATTTTAAGTTGTTTAACTGATTGAAAATTAACCAGGAACAGGCTGAACACCTTTTGTTTTAATGTGTGCTCAATAATTGCCAAGGGCCGTGAATTTTAGTACTGTGTTGAATTTCTTCGAAAATCCATGTGGGGAATTTTTCTGATTTGCCGAACAATGTTTTGATTTGATGTGTAGGGAATTCGAAAAATTTTTGAAACTTGATAATGAGCACGTAAGCGACAGGCGGCAACTGTAAAGCTTTCAGTATTATGCGGAATAAGATGGTGGTTTGAAGAGAATAACCTCACTATTTCCAAGTATATTCGCTGCATCTCAATCTCATAAATGCCATCTTACGCTCCAGAAAATACGCAATAAGTAACCGTCACCTTGAAAACTTGACCTCGAACTCGAGTCATTATCCAGCCATCAGTATCAGGCCCTTTCCGATGCCTCGCATTCCGCGGTCGGTCGATTCATCCCGTCCTATATTTGATGACTCGCATATATAAGCGTTTATGCATGCAGCGACTCCGGCAAAGATTTTCTATCTCTCACTCCCGGTGTGCTGTGTTTGTGTTTCTCTTCGGACGCGCATGTTGCAGAAGTCGACCAGGCTCTGGTCCCGAGGAGACAGTGGCGGCAACAAATTCCGGGTTGCGAACGCAGCGGATGCAACAGTGGTGAACTGCTCCAGCGGGTCCTTCCGGTGCAAGACGGTTTCCTGCTCCCTGGGCCCGTTCCTGGGTTCCGGAGCCAACGTCCAGCTGTCCTTCCGGATCAAAATCGACCTGAGCGTCCTCGGTGCGTATCTATGAAGTGTGAGAAAACTGCATCCATGCTACTGCCCAGCAACCTGGGATAAGCTACCGCCATTTCCATGTGAGGCTTGTGGCAGCTTAACGGGATGGGTGGTTTATCAAAGAACCTAAAATAATGCATTCAAACCTCTCCAAGTTGAATTTAAAGTGACCAAAAATAAATGTTGACTCACAGGGGTTTTGACACTCGGGGAGGTTTCAAGGAAGCATATAAGAGTTGCAGGAAATTGTGAATGATGATATTTTGTGCCTTAAATTGCTTCTTGAATGAGTTTACAGCATGCTGAACTTGGAGGCAGGGGTTCATTTGCCCAATTAGTCTTCAACTTCCTTTCAAAACATATTGACATATGTTTTCGGGCTTTTTTTCCTGTGTCAGGAAAATATTAGCCAAAAGGCCCCATAAAATTTGAATTATGGAGGATTGATAGGAAAAGCTTTCAAATTAGGGAGATTTTTAATGCATTGTTACCAAGGAAAGTCACAGAGAGAATATGAAAAAAAAACTTACTGAGGTACTTTACTTGAGGAGGTTTGAGTTATTGAGGTTCAACTGTACAAAAATGAGCTATAATGGGAAACAAAATTTCATCATTCCTCTAGAAAACGAACAAAATTACCATTAGATGATGTTCCCAAGAATTAAGAATGTAATATTTGTGTTTGCATTTGTTTTTAAATAAGAGAGCTATTGCAGACTTGAATCTCGTTGATGACAAAATTAGTTCACAGGGTCATATTTGAGTCCGCTCAATAATGTTGGTTGATGGCATTTTGAGGGGGTTTACGATGCTTTTACCTTTCGGAAATATTTTGTTTCAAAATAATTAATGGGCACTTGCTCAAGATGGTAACAGTACATTGTGAAGTGTCTTAACAGGGCTTGACTTTATATACTGTACTGGCCTGGGATCCGAGCAATGTTTCTCCTGCTGTTCTTTCTTTTCCCCAATCTATGCCAGAATGCACTATAGAAGAGAGTTGTTCTATGAACTTCCTCAGCTTTTCTGTTTCCTGCTGGGAAACTACCCCATATCCACCAGCAACCGCTTCCATGGACACCAGTTATCTCGTTTCATTTTTAATCTTCCATCCCTTTTGCTTTTTGGGGTCATCCATCTCCTTTTCTACCCTTTCCTAATAGGGAAAAAAACCCAGTAAGTCAAATCCTGTTTAAATAGATGGATTAGCCTTTTCACTGAAAATTATAAACCCTCATAAATGTACAGATGGTGAACTTCTGAATATTTGAGAGCATGCACTAATAATCAAGCAAGGAATAAAATAAGAAGGCTTTGTCTCGTTGTAACAGAGACTTGTTCACAAATTTATTTTCCTACTGTAACGTTTTCTGGAGGATTCGGGCTTCAAAATCTTGTCTACGTATGCGGAAATTGTGTGAAAATCACTGAAAGAATTTGTGCATCATCACTTGGTCATGCCCGATGATATAGAGCTTAAAATAGAATCCAAGGATTTTTTATTTTCAAAAACTGCGATGGTGGGAATGGTGGTTAAACGTAGCATGAATTCAAAAATGGTTCATCGTGGTAAAATAATTCCTAAAAAGACATAACCGTTGAAGTTAAGACGATAACATTTCCCGTGATGGTCTGGTTATTCACTCACTTTTTCTACCAATGCACATGGAGCTCATTTGATAGCTAAGCTATCACCTCACCTGAATTTGCATCTCAAGACAGTTTTGAATGTCGAATCGATGACTTCGCGGATCGTTTGCTTGGTGATACTCCGAGAACTCCCTCGTGACTGTGACAGACACATCAAAAACTCTTTACTAATGATATACAGTATATAGAGCCTCCTTTAAATACGTTCGAAAATCGTCGTGCGAAAGTTAACTTAAAGTAAACTTATGTAACACTTACGACTGCTCCGTAGATATAAGTGACGAACGGTGTGGCGTTTGTCAGAAAATAAGAGCGTTACGTGAGTCACCATCTCAAATTTGTTGAAAGTTTTTTTTTAAATAATCAACAACAAATAACAATTCAAATAAAGGCGTCAGTGAATAATCTCTTTTCATCTATTTTTTATTGTGTGCATGCCTATGCAGTACTTGTAAAATAGTCTTCGTCATTGCCACTATACAAGAGCAAGGGAAGACATTCTGCCGAAATTTCTTGGTTCCTTTCCTCTTCGTATACATTGTTGGAAAAATATTTCTCATCAGCCATCAATGCTTCTTAATCGATCACACATTATCGAAAAAATTTGAAGCAATATCTGTTTTCGTTTGAAAAAAGGAAACTGAGAAATCCCAAAAGAAAATAATGTACGACTACTGTACCTTGGGTTCGGATCAACCAATACTTTTTATTCTGTCGTATTTTTATCCTCACACAACCGATTTCTTCGACGGGATCAACAAAAAACCTCAAACATGTTTTGGCTTATATGAATGGTGTCTGAAATGAGTTGAACAGCGATTAAAGCCTTGGCATTTTGTGACCCAAAGGCTTTAGAACATGCAAGCATATACAGCACTTCAATATGCTGGAAATCTACCGTATTTGGATCTCCATTATTACACCTGAGGCTTCACCTTAAAAGTACAATATGTGTTGCGTTTTATCTTTGTGCTGAAAGTCTCAAATTGACTTGCGAAGCATTCAAGCATGAAGACTTACCTGTGAGCTCATCCAGAAAACTTTTAAATCTTTCAATTTCGAAGCAACAAGGGCTGGCGCCAAATCAGCAGAAGAACTGCAAAATCCCTCCCAACTTACTCCCGGGGATTGACCTTCACTCGAACAGCTGAGCCATTTATTTTTTTCGAAGTGTCGTATGTCTCTTTTGAAGTGATGCGAGCACAGAACGTCGCTTTTCGGCCTGAAAAGCAACATATGGTTGGGATTCGAGGCATGATGTGAGTCCGTCACTTATTTCGTGACCTTTCAAGTGATCGCCATCCAACTGAACGCCGATCGCTTGACCGTTTCTGTAGATTTTTTAGAAAAATTTCACCTGCAAAGACGAGGCAACGATTTCTTTGAACTCTGTCAATGCCGAAGTTTACAGTCGATAAGCCTCTCAGAATTTCAAGACTTTTTTTCGTGGCATGAAAAAAAATTCCTTACGAAGTAATGTCTTCTACACCGCAAAAAAGTGCTCGGAAATGATACATAATTACATAATTAGCAATGATTGCCAGCGTAGTGTATAAAGAAAACACGTGTATGTTTGTGCTGATTTTTTTTTTCTGCTCGGACTCGGGATGAAAACACGAGAACGGCAATCCGAATACTGTATATGGTGAATTCATTGCAGTAAATGTGACGCTCAGCTAGTTGGCGCTCAGCTGTCGCAATGCTCATTTGTGCTTGAGAAGATATGTCAGCCCGAGCCCGTAACGAGATTGAAACTGGGACGTGGGGGAACGGATTCCCCTTTGGAATGGAACTCTATGCACAGCCCAACGCGTAATGCGAGGTCACCGTTTTACTGTCGTGGAGGCTCGTCGTTTCTACTGGAACGTCTTCTTCCTGTACGCAGTACATTTCATGTAGAGACGAAGAGAGGGATACAGACATATTTTCTTTGAAGAGAGAGAACATTTTATTGTTAAAAAGAATGATACTTATAGATGTCTCTTATGAAATAGAGTGAAATGGTAATTGCGAAGAATACCAGGGCTAAAACTTCACTAATTTAACACAAAGATTTAAAATTAAACTGTAACTGCCTCGGCTGTTTTCCAGTCAAAAATTTTCGAAGACAACTTTATCTCGCAAACGTATTTCCCCCATGATATCTCCTGCACTCTTTTACGACTATTGGCAGCTTTTTTATTGCTTACGAATGTACCGCAAAAGTACGAGTTTTTTTTTAATTGGTGTAGGCAACATCAAAGTCTCACCTATAAAACTTATACGTGAGTTAAAGCGAAACCAAGCAAAAGTGTCATTTGTAAACTGGTTGATTTCAAGCTCCCTTAGCACATAATAACGCAGCTATTCCGTGTGTTCATAAAAATCAAGATTTTTGCTATCTTGTGTCCATTTCGAGTATTATTTCAAAGTAAAGGATAAACGCCTTTTAAGCTGTCAAAAATGTTTGCCGGAAATTTCTGTTCGAATTTATGCTTGATTTATACACTTAAATATGATGAGAGCTGTACTGTGCCGGGATTGATTCGCCTGACTGAAGAAAAGGTGTCGCGGGAAGAATAGAAAAATTCGATTTTCCTGTTGAGTAAAAAAAAAAAACAGTTCTAGTATTGCTTAGAACAGCAAAATACTTGGAGTAGTGCTAAAAAATCTTTGGATTGAGTTCTTTCTAGCAAATAAGATAAATTAGATTCAAGTAGCGTCACATGTCACTTTAATGTGGGGTTGATCAACTCTGCTATGAGCATACATCTGACGCGTCCTTCAATCTGAGATCAACAGCTTTCAATTTTCTTGGTACTGTAGTTATTTCTGTAGGCCTCTCGAAAGGTTCAATTCCATGCAATCATGTTGGTACCGCTGTGAGATATCTTTAAAATTAGTCTTTATTATGTCCTTAGCTGCTGTAAAATTTTTGACTTCGCTCTGAATCCCCCCCCCCCCCGGGAAAAATTCCCATTTCGACTAGAGCCCCTTCAATTCTTTCATAGTACTCAACTTTTCCGAGGGTATTCAGATTAAACTTTCGTCTGATCCCCTTGCTCTTATTTCCAATTCTCTTATTGCGTATAAATGATGTTCAGCTATTTCAGCCTTTATGATTATGCAGTAATTAGTTCACACTCCCAATAAACCCTGTCCATTTTATGCTAGGAAATTATACCAATATTCTTGGACTATCTTTTTCGGGAACGCGACAATAAGTAGGAAAAAAACTCATCAGCATTTTTCAACTGTTTTGAAGTAGCATAAGCTATTCAATTACCTTGGCATGAACTGAGTTGCGAAAGTAGAGCACAAGTTATTTATTGTAACTATTCTCATCATCTTTGATAAGAATCCTTTCGAACTTTCTGATTCACTATTCAGTGGATAACTGTTTCCAAGTTTCAGTGCAACCCTTCAAGTACTATTTAGTAGCTATGAACGATTCTAGTATTTCACTGAACTTGTTTTCTGCCATTAAGAAAAAAAAAACTTTCTGATTCACTATTCAGTGGATAACTGTTTCCAAGTTTCAGTGCAACCCTTCAAGTACTATTTAGTAGCTATGAACGATTCTAGTATTTCACTGAACTTGTTTTCTGCCATTAAGAAAAAAAAACGATGCAGATACAACGCTGGTTCCGAAGCATGGAAATTCAACTTGAAATAAATATACAATTTGAGATTTTCTTTTGATTTTTGTAGAGCCAAGGCTGGGGAAAAATACGACAGTTGTGTTGGAAACAGATGCTTTCGTTAACTTCGGCGGATACATGGCGGATGTGAAAAGCTTAGAGGCTTTTGATGTGAGGTGAGTACGCTGTATAGTTTTGGTTTCAGTTCTTTTGAATCACTGATCTTTGATTCTTTGTCACACTAACTAATTCCATGACATAAACAACAGGATAATTACAATAACCGGCATCTTTTGGGGAGGATATGACATACAGTTAGATTCTCTTCTTGTTTGTCTTTTTAACAGAAGGACATTTTGTGTTAAAGACTTTTCTCTTCGCTGTGAATTTCGGTACCTGAACACGGAGGATTAAAAATAAATAAATTAACGCGGGTTTACCCTATTGAAACTAAGTTGAATGATGTACTATCGAAAATTGTTCTGTGTTCCTCAAAACAAGGAGGTTGTTGTGAATATTTTTTTTTCGAAAAAGGGCCGAGCGTTCGATCAAGGAAGTCCTGCATTTGTATGTACTGTGATGAATACTTTTTTTTTGACTGCATGTGTATGTGTAGGAGGGGCTGAGGGATGGGGTAAAATGTTTTGAACCTTTTAGTGAACGCTGACAAGTGGGAAATAAAGCATAATTATCTGTATTTATCAGCAAGACATTTTTTTTATGATTTTGAAGGTCGGATTACACTCAAGTTATCACTGTTTTCATGCCCGCTATACCTGTCAAGATGAAGGAGGTGCCCGTGACCTAGTAGCGGCACAGCTAACAACCTCCTTAAGACGAACAGAACTAGTACTAACGATAAAACTGTTTCCAAACGAAAACAGAGGCGAATTTAATGACATATCGTTAGAACTTGAATGTGGACCATGACATGACTTGTAAACAAGAGAAAATAAAAGATGATGCATTATTTTAAAATGCTTCATCGTCAAGTGACGCCATCGATTTGAAAGAAAATTTTCACTCAAGAGCATTATACGTGAGATGGTTCAAAAGTTTTATAAGATGTGCTCGAAAAAAGTTCTTCGTAAGATAAATGATAATATTTACAGCAACTGCAAGATTTTATTGAATTCCAGTGAGAAGAAACAACCGGCTCACTAATTGATGATTGGGTTCAAATTCATATTCAGCACCGCTCCACGAAGAGTTTTATCATCCAATTTTAAAAATTGGAATATAGGTGTCATATCGGGGCAATGAAGACTTTTTTCCATCATTTGTAATATCTGGACAGTACTTGAACTTGATTCAATTGCATAAAACCTGCGTGTGGCAGGTGAACCATGTGAACCACATTTCCGCAAAATTATAGCGTGCAATTTAGACTTCTGCTTCTGTCCGTTTTAAGTTTTCCGAACGGAAATTGGAATCGTGATCAGAATATTTACAAAAATACTTCTACTTGAAAACTATTGTACTTCCATCTCTATCGATCCGAAAAGGAAAGCACTTTGAAAAATTGCTCTAAAAACAACCCGTGTCGAGCAAGTAATTCATTCTGCTACAATGAAAATAAGAGCTTTTTTTTTCGAAAAAAAAAGCTGCCCAATCTTCGACTATGCTCTTAAAAACCTGGATTTATCAAGAATTTGAGGGATATTTCAGATTGTCCAGCATATAAAGGCTATGGTTAATTTTGGTCGACAATTTTAGCGGAATGTCTTTATATTGTTAATTTTTTTTTACAGGTAGGATTTTTCCGTCGTAAAAAGTTGGAGGAACTGGAAGAGCGACGAGCTGCAAGCGAACTGCTGAAGCAACAAGCTGCACAAGCAGCTGCTGCGACAGCAAGAACAACTTCAAGTGACGGTCACCTCGAAAGTCCAAGTCCAGCTCCTTGAACTAAACGAGCTTCATAATTGAAATATGCACCGGAAACTTTACTCATTGCCAATATACAGCACTGCATTTTATTTTTGCATCTCGTCCTTTTTTGCCTTCATCTTCATCACGCTTTTCAAGTGTATATATAAGGCATGCAACACGAGGTGAGCCATGCGCACTTATCCTTGGCCCTCGCGCAGTTGTACAGCATTTTCTATTCAATTCCGATTTTTTTGCGATTCGAATTTTAGTGCTGAGTCAATTGTGAATTATTCAGAAGGGCCAATAAAAGTGATGCCAAAGAGTCTGTCTAGAAAAAAAAATTTTATGATCAAGATACCATCGTGTCGAGTATTTTATTTAGAAATGGTGCTTTGCCATGTTACAGGATAGAAGAAACACACACAAATAAGAACGATCTGCTCTCTCTTGTTCGTATTGATTATACGACGGATTGGTTTTAAATCGAGCTTTATTTTTGCCTGTTTTTTTCCTAAAACGTGTGTATTGAAACTTTACATCACTCTTTTCTCGAAATTTTCTTCTGTTCGTGTTTTTTTGCGTGGTAGAAATATTTTATCTGATATTTAAATTCAATTGATTGGGGGTGCATTTCTGGACCACTCAATGAAATATTATCAATATTTGAGCAAGTACAGTGCCATATTTACTCAAGTGCAAGGCACCCTTGCGTAAAAATGTATGCACCTTGATTTTTTTGCATCAAATTTGGCAAAAAAAATCTATCGCCGCACCCCAATCTTTTAATCCCGATGGGAAGCTTGTCTAAAATGATAATTGCACGCATCAGAATCTTATAATTGAATAGAAACATGAATAATTTTAAACTGATTGGTGCCAAGCAGCATTTCCTGCTCATTATTTTCACCTACGCAGACTCATTATGAAGCAAACCACTGATTTCCTAATTTTGTTATTTAAAAAAACTGTACTGTACCTGCATACCACGCGAACCTCGCTTTTCTGCCTTAATTTTACAGAAAAAAATTTGCGTGTGGTACTTGCAGAAAAATCGTCATTTAAGTTATGATATGTATTCATAGACGCAAGCAGTCCTTTATTTTTTAAGAAACTCTCCCGCATGTGCGTCTCATATATATTTAGGTTATGCGCCATTTTCCTCAGAAAATTGCTTCGCGGAACAGTTTTGGTACAGAAGAAAAAGAGGATGGCGAAAAACAAATTAATGCTAATTTAGCAGGCGTATTTTTCCTCCAAGATTCTCAGAAGAATCCCTTCAGATGGATAAATGATAGTTTCTCAAGCGATTGCATCTGTATTGGCCTGAGGCGGTAGGACTAACTCAATCCGGAGTCGACGCCAAGAGCCCTTATTTGGGCGCAGCCTAACGTCGGTCTCTTTATGACACCGTACATGTTACTTTGGCAACTACTCCAGCTTCTGAGCAACCTATGCTATAGGGATTCCCTAGAGGAATATGCCATATGGCCTGCTCAGAAAATTCGCCCATGAAGCAATGAGACAGTTAGACAGACGAGGAACGTCTCGATGCTTCATTGGTCTTCACCACCAGCAGAAGAGGTTCTCAAACTTTTTCGGCCCGTGGTGCCCTTTTTATAGGAATCAATTTTCACGGTGTGGAGCATTGCTGGATGATAGATGAGCGCATTGTTCGAAGGTCCTTGCATTGAAATATGGGGCCGTGATAGTAATTTTTTTTCAACTGCTTGAAGTGTCTTCTTCTTTAGCCTTTTCACGCCTTCTTTCATTTTTAAACACGAATTATTTAACATTTGAGATTCTTGCGTTCGATTCTACAGAAACCCCTTGGATTTTTTTTTTTAAACTTTAAGGGAATCCCAGAAAAATCCCCATGAACACTGCGTGGAGCAGGGGTCCTCGTCCACTTAAATTAATCTTTAGTGGCACTATAGTGAGAGATACTGTCATTTTTTTTAGGTGCTTAAATGAATTAACGGTAAAGTATTCTTGCCTAATTTCCCAAGTCTTGTTCATGATAATAAAAGCAAGGTAGAGTCGGAAGTGATTTCATTTTAAAGATTAAAATCCCGGACTGGTTTCAGCAATAATTTTGTTCAGTTTCAGCGAATAAAATATCACAAAATTCAACTTCAAAAAATTATCTTACAATTCATATCCATTGCGAGTTCATTTTTATTTTTAAGACGGAAGTGATTTCATTTTAAATAGTAAAATCCCGGACTGGTTTCAGCAATAATTTTGTTCAGTTTCAGCGATTAAAGTACTGTATAACAAAATTCAACTTTTAAAAATGCTCTTACAATTCATATCCATTGCGAGTTCATTTTTATTTTTAAGACGGAATAAACTTGTGACAGGCGGGAAAAAATACGGGAGTACAGAAATTTGCCACAAGCTCAATTCTTGTACGTGCTTTTCTATAGTTCTTGGCGCCTATATGAATCATACACAAACAACCAACCTCGCAAATAATCTTCAAAGTAACCACATTCATACATTCTTCAAATTCACCGGAATTTTCGAGATGTCTGAGGAATAGTTAAAAGTATCCATAAATAACCCGTGCACCAGGAAGAAGAAAAAGAAGGCCATTGCAATGGCTTAGACTGCGTAGTAGTGTCGCATGTAGAATGCGGCTTTCCTGTGCTATTTCTGTCTACCTTTGTTTCCTGCGAAAACATTTAAAACTGTCGAAGTGTTCGTGCACGCAGCAAAGCTGGCGAATAAGCAGAAAATCACTCGGTCGAAGGGAATCGCGCGTGAGTGACGTCACACAGCGGGGCAGTGACATCAGAAACTTCTGGAATCTTCGTGGGGAGTTTCGCAAAGCTCTGATGCCTCCCTCCCTCTCTCCCTCCCAAGGACTATACACGGTTTCGGGTGGACTTCCAGGGAGTGAATGCATTAGTACTTGTACTTCTTCCGTGTGCGCCTTCGTCAAAACGTTTCTGGCGTGATAGATTATCTCTCAAAACCGTGCGCGTGCTGTCAGAAGCATTGCCCAGCGGGAGACGCCAGCTCTGGAATAATGAAAGAAAAAGGAAAGAAAATTACACAATAAAGAAAGTGCTTTGACTGTACAACCACTAACTAACTATGATTCTATTTTGGAATCTTCAACCGCCGTACTCTGAGTTCGAAGCACTGTAGATCTATGCAAGGGCGCAGGTCGTCAGTCGCTTTCGAGCCTCGCCTTGCGTCTCAGGGTTTGTGCGTTAGACCTGTTATGCATTTCAGGGTGATGTAAAACTTTGAGGGAACTTTTGAAGCACTTGGAACTGCACCTGTTAAGAATGTGCCATGTTTCAAGCAATTTCGCTGTGTTCTTGGAAATTCGATGCGTTTATGTTTGAGCTGTATACAGTACTCGTGAAGTTTTGAGAATACTGTAGAGTGTAGACTGAAGGCCCGACGATTGGGTTCTGATCCCGTCCGTGATTCAGCCTGGATATTTTTTCGGCAGTGTCTTATTCGAAATTATGAAAAATGAATGATCGGAGGAACTGTTTGTTTTTTATTTTTTCTTAGACGCAAAGGGATTAGAATAACCCATTGCGGTGATTTCTGCAATCCGTGGCTTCAAAATTTGAAACATGTTTCTGAAAGAAAAAGTTAGAATTGGATAACGACAGATGGAACACAAACAGCTTTTTATCTCCAGAAAAAAAGTATTTGGATCCATCACTGTATTACTTATAAAGTTCATATGCAACTTTTTCCGTGATTGTCACTGACCATTCAACTACTTTTTGAGTCATACCAATGAATTGATTGTTGGAAGGGAATGGAGCAAGGCGAAACATAAGTTACTCAATATTGGTGTTTAATATTCTCAGATAACAAAAAATAATTTAAAATTCAATCCTCTCAACTGGCACAGAAAGGTTTGGAATTATCTTGTACATTTTGAATGACAAGAAAATTCTGTGTGAGTCTGAAAGAAATTGCCAATTGAAGAAATAATGCTGCCATGAGTAATACATTACTTTTGTCCATGAATATTTATTGCAGATCTTCAGCTGCATTAAAAATATTCTAGATGCAAGAGACATCTCAGTGCTGAGGCAGTTACCCAGCCTCCAAGGGAATTTAATTTTAAAAGTACAAAACTACATTGTGACTGCAGAAAAATAAGAGAAGCTGGAGCATCCTCACTCCTTGGATGTTAAAAGAGGACTCCTATTATTGTCTCTGATCACAGGTTTCATGAAGACAAGAATCACACACACAATCAGCAAATACAATCTCGCATTGTGCAATAAAAACTCAGTTTCAAAAAGAAATAAAATCAGCAAAGAAAATATGCTTTGCCTATGGTGCAATTCCTGATGCACAAACTTCCGAAGCAAATAACTCCGCGAAATTTACAGTTAGAAAATTTCACAACATCTTAAATTGAAGCCACAGATAGTTTGCAACTTTGCTTGTATCATATAAAAATTGACCCAATTGATAGATCATGAGATATTTTTACTTTTCTAAACCTAACTTTTTTTTGGTGATAAGAGTCTGGAAAACCTTCATGCCAGATTCTTATCTCACTGATGCACAAGATTTTGGTGCAAACAGTGACTTCAAAAGCCTTGCTTTTAAATTCAGATGAATGAATTTATTTCTGCAACAAAATATTCTATTCTGAAGATTCTTGAATAATACCGCAGTTTGCATTAAGTCAGTGCTGCACCTATTGCGACGCTGATGGAAGATGCGTGCAAGGGGGTTTCAAAAAGTTTGCGCACTTTGCTCTATCATCACTTTTAACTCAGTCTTTTTGTTAGCAATCTGTGCAAAGCAACATACATTATTTTAGTAATTTTATACTTTATTCAAGATGAAATCATCTATTATCTCGAAAAAGAGAAGTGTGAGATCACGCACAGTGCATTTGTTTTTATCTATCTAGACGTGTTTCGGATGCTGCTTATCCGTACTGTATTCTGATTTTAAAAAGTATGCTTCGCAATTAAGAAAATCTTTATAGTACTGTGCTGAAAGATGACGCTTCATGTCCCGAACACTTCGTAAAATCAAGGGCCATTCCTATACCTCAAAAATGTCCTAGGTGCCTTTCTCGTGAGTTTTGGTTTCGCTATTCAGTCTTTATAAAAAAGAACGAATCATGGAATTTGTTATTCCACCGACAATGCGAGCTGCTCAAGTTCTGGAGCAGGGAAAGCCAGTGCAGATTGTGGAAGTGCCAGTGCCAGAGCCAGGAAACGGCGAGGTTTTGGTCAAGTTGACCCTGTCTGGCGTTTGCTACACGGATGTACACGTGCGAGATGGCGACTTGGCATTTCCAGCTCAACTGCCGATAACAATCGGACATGAAGGTGAATACCAACTCTACATTCTTTACCCACAAGAGAACCTCTATTATCCAGGGGAATGACTGACGAATGCACCCCGAGATTATCGTAGTCTGTTGTCAGGGATTAAGAAAGGATTATCTCGGGTTGAAAGAATAAATTAAAACTGAAAAAGCATCAGGTAAAGTTTTACCAATAATTTCGCAAATTTCGATGAGCAAAATGCCATATTTCTCAGATATCCCGGTTAAATTTTTTTTTCAAAAAATCTCCGATCTGTTGGGGCTTTTTTTGATCAGGATATTTTATTTTTCATAGGTTGACTAATATTTGATGCTTGCCATTTTATTCCTAGGTGTGTTCGCCGTTCCAAAAGAAAAAAAATATATTGAAGGGAGATAAAGTCACGCATATTAAAATTAGATGGGCCATTTTTAGTACGTCCTCGTGACTTGAAATTTGGGTACAATTAATTGCACGACTGCTACTGCTATAAAAGATTACATAATCGAGGTTTTAACGTGATTCCTGGTCCTGGTCAATGCACTATACTGCTACATTACTGGGTGAACAAAGGTTGGAATTTTGTTTTGTTTTTTGCAGGAGTTGGAAGGGTCTGCAAAATTGGACCAGGGGTGAAACAGTTCAAAATTGGAGACCGGGTTTGTTGCCCGTGTTTTGCTGGTTCTTGCGGACACTGTACAGACTGCTTGGAGGGTTGGGGAGTCGCTTGTACTCAACTCAAGCTCTCTGGTTTTATGACACCAGGCACTCTTGCCGAATACTACGTGGGCGATGCAAATTTCCTCGGTATTTCGTCTACTCCAATTATTCAGCAAAAAAATAAAAACTTTCAATTAGATTTGGATAAATAGGGGTGTGGGTGAAACGGTCACACCCAGTGCTTCTCGAAAAACAAAACTTTCGCGATTGAATGCATGCCAGAAATTAATTTAGACACCACCCGAAATACGAGGGGTCTAACAAACGTCCACAAATAAAAATCGAAATGGCATAGGATTGAACGGGAAAACGCCCAATTTTCATAAAAAACATTTATTTGTCACAAGAAAAGAAATGCAGCCCTGTTTGACGTATTTCGCGGAAAGTTTTTTGCAAAAGTCACCCTGGGCAGCTTTACACTTATTAATCAAATCTGGCGCACATTTATCGTAGATTATTTTGTGTGTAGCTGAGGTTCTTCACAATTCTTGAAATCGACATGATGACCACGTTTCAGTCGATATTAACAATAAGTACCAACAACTTGTATGACTAATTTAAAATTATTTCCTCCTTTTTTTGTTCGTCTCTTGAATTTTCCAGCTGATCCACCTGGAATATTACGCACGCATAACTTGGCAAAGTACATTTTTGTATTCAAGTCTTGTGAGTCATTTTCCTCTGGTTACGGATCCTACCGCCTTAATAATTAAATCTACCGCATGTTCTAAAGAAGTCCATTTGCATAAATCCCATGGTATTAAAAAAGAGATACATTTTTTTTATCTTTTTAGCCAGCTAGTAAATTCAGGAGTTTGCAACGTAGGAAACGCTAACTGAGAATTCAATAAAATAGAAGCATTTTCGAATGAGTCTTCTGCGAAAATAAAAACTTCAATGATTGATCTGTATCCAAAAAAATTTGGACAAATTTGAGCAATCGAAATCACGCAGTTCGCCGAAATGATTGAGTTCCGACGAGTTTCATTTTCAGTCCTTGTGCCTGACGGAGTAAAAGACGAATCAGCAGCGCCAATTTGTTGCGCTGGAGTGACCGCATACAAAGCATTGAAACAAAGTGGCCTCAGGGCTGGGCAAACTGTAGTAATTCTGGGGGCAGCAGGAGGCCTTGGAAATTATGCTGTTCAGTATGCCCTTGCAATGGGTCTGAAAGTGGTCGGCATTGGTGAGATACCGTTTTTTCTTTTATATTTCCAGAATTATTATTTTTTGCTTCTTTGGGATGGTCTCCAGTGCGAGACCTCAATGACATCGATTGTTTAAACACGATGGATAATAATCACTTTAGCATGACCTGATTTCTTAGATGATGGTCTTCGAACGTTTTTGATGATGGAAAATTACTCATTAAACTGGAGAAATAGAAGTCTTGGTTTACGCAAAAATTCTGCACGAAACGTACTGTCATTAATTTGATGAAATTGAAACCTTGAATTCTGAAGCTTTTAATGTGGGTTTGGTTTTGGAAATATGGGCTACTCTGTCTTTTTGGTGTTTTTCTTTGCAGATAAAGGAGCTGAAAAGATTGAGTCTTTGAAGAAGTTTGAAGGGATAACTGCAGTGGATGTGGAAACTGATGACTGCAGAGGAAAGGTAACGCAGAATGAAAATTCCTGATTCAAGTTGAGATAAATTCACAGCATTTACCGAAGTACCATATGCCCTTGATTGAGATAATCACCTCCTTTTTTGGCATGAAAATACAAGAAACTTATTCCCAATAATTGATTTCCCCCAATTTAGATGTGGTCTACTCAGTCTTGTTCAATCGAACTCACATAAAAATCCAAAATGGAACCTATTTGCAAAAAAGGTGCGGAGTACCAGCATTGCGTTGGTTTCAGGCAAAGAAAAATTGCGTTTCATCGAAACAATAAATATTGAAAATATTTGATGCATTAAACTTATATCAGCAAACAAATGTTCATTGCCTAATAAGTTCCAAAAACGGTTCACGCAATTTACAGAGAAAATGACACACATCGTCAAGCCAAAAATGTCGTAAACTTTCTCATTGATTGTACCTCTTAATCTATGCTTTTCACGTTTTTATTTTCAACATTCACTTTTTGATGAGAGCTGGGATTTTTGTCTTGATTATTGAAGTAAGCAGTCTAAGAAATGCATATGCGCTGAATCGTTTCCTATATCCTTCCTCATCGTAAAACGATGAAAGGAAAATATTGAAAGAAACCAAAAGTTCGCGATTATCATTATATAGTAAGTGCACAATTTCCCAGAACTCTGCTTTGATTATGATGACGTGATGATGGATACCAATCGGCCCACAATAAGAATTTCCCTGCACTCATAATTTATAACTTTGATTACTCCAATGCTTATATATTTATTTATACATTTAAAAATTTTAATTTTCAGGTTCTGTCGTTGACCGGTGGGCTCGGGGCTCACGCAGCAATAGTTTTTGCATCCACTGCAAAGGCAACTGAGAATGCTCTGACTTTGGTCCGGACACGTGGCACAGTCATTGTGGTCGGACTAGCACCTGACCCAATCAAGGTTGACACTGTCACTCTAGCTCTTCGAATGATCACGATCCGGGGATCCCTAGTTGGCACCGTGACAGACCTTCGAGTATGTCGTCAAATGTCATTATTTTCCCGTAATCTTGAATTTAAATGAAAGTAACATAATAGCTTGTTTAAATGAAAAAAAAAACGTCGCTCCGGCTGCAGCCAGGGCCCAAAATTTGAAAGAAAAAAGTGCATGAACCAACATTTTCCACGGAAATGCCGCAAGAAAATAATGAAAAAGATGTGAAATTTATTTATCGCTTTTTGAAAAAGCTCGATGATGAGCAGCAATCGGAAAAAATGCAGTGAGGAATTTTTCCAGTGGAAACTTTTGACATCAATAATTGAGAAAGACTTGTTCCGGATGAAGTTTGAGATCATAGTTTTTAAACATTCATTTTCATTATTTTATTTTTAGTACTGTCTATAGGCAACATAAGAATTCATAGATGACCAGAATCAAGGATTACTGTCTGTGCGTGAACATTTGAAATCCAGCACACACCCATTTTGAATGCATTTTTCCTTTCAAAAACGTTATTAACATTTTCTTTAAAGTATTCCAATATTCCGAGTATAAACAGCTGCAGAGGTACAGTTTTCGAGCAGTTTTTTTTTGTGCGGCTGTATTGAGGCCTTTACATGTGCAAATTCTTTAAAATTGATAAAAGATCTGCAGGAAACACAAAAATTGCTGTTCGATGGAGGATGCCACATTGAAAGGTAATATAATTGTAGAGACGATTCATCTAGCTGAGTTTAGTGAGATTCTTTCCACCTACAGTAGTTGAATATCTTGAACTCGGATAAAACTTCCAGCGAATGAAAAAAAAATCTTGCAAACTTCACTAATCGGATCGTTCATATCGTCCGTTTTATTTAATAGGAGGCCATGGATTTCCTGGCCGAAGGAAAAATCGCGAGTCGTCCGCAAATCAGAAAGTTTGAGGAGGTCAATTCAATCTTGGATGAACTCGCCGCGGGCAAAGCAATCGGAAGGACCGTCGCCATCATTTCCCCGGACGAAATTTCCTCTTGAATTTTTTCTCAATAAGAAAACGAAGAATTTCTTTCAGTTCAAAAATCCAATTTCTACAGAATGATGTTATGGATCAGTTATCAATTTTTTTTGTACCTTCGAAATATCTATATGAGGGGCTACACGTTTCCGCGTGGACTTGTTTCGGCGCGGACTTGAAATGATCTAAACTATATACTGAACACCAGGGATATTTAAAAACATTTTTCTCATGTTCACTAGTTCCAAGAGTCTTGGCAGACCCCTTCTCAATGTCATCAGCACCAATTTTTACACACTCCTCAGCCCTTTTGTTCCATGAGTTGAAAGAGGCTTTCAAGCGTTCAATTGTTAAATTTTGAAGCTTTCCCGGAGAACAACAGCAACAAGCTGATCCGCGCAGAACCGTGTAACCCCTCGTATATTATATTGCATTGACCTTCCGACGCTTTTCTCACTCTGTCGACTGTTGCAAAAATCTTATTCTTCTGCATAAATAAAATTACACCTTTTTGCTTCTTCCGGAAGTGCGAGTCACGCGTCCGGATGCGACCCGATCTGAGCACAGGAACCCCGTGAAACATCAAAGGATGCAGCCCGCGTTTCCAAGGCAGGAAAAGCGTGCTTTGGATTTCGGACGTGTTGCCCCAACAGTTTCGTTGCAGCTGCTCTGGGGAACGGATGCAATGTGCCATTCCTGTACTCACAAGTGACGATTCGTCGATCTTTCGCAAATTTACCCAGTACTTTATATATACAACGCCTCTATTTATTTTTTGGCATGGGAGTGGTATGTTTTGTGCAGTGTTTATTGCGACGGGACACGTTATCCTATGTGATCATTTAGTGGAAGGAAGTTTTACTGCTTTTCCTGCTGCAAGGTTTCCCAAGTGAACCACAATTCTTCGTCTTCACTTGTTTGCAAGTCACTATAGGTAAAAAAGGAACTGATACCTTGCAATGATGATGCATTGCTAGACCTGTGCTTTGACATGGATTTTTAGCATCAACTAATACCTAATACTTGTGCAAAAAAAAAATGTTCGATGAAAGAACGCAAAAATATGTATTCTTGGACCAACGTCTTGATTAACTTCCAATTTTGGAGAAAGCGTACGAATTTCTCTGGAATTGACATTTTATGTTCAGTTAACTAAATTAAAATAATTTCTTTTTTTGGGGCAAGCTTTCAAACTATATATCCCTCATTTACATAAGACGACTACGTACTAACGTTTTTAAGAATTGACAACACTGAATTACAGGTGGGACTGATCTACCATTTACGCCTCACAATTAGGTTCAATGAAAATTAATTATTTTGCCAATTATTCAGAAATCATAAAAGGTAAAACGGACAGTGACAAGTAAAATGATGGCTTTATAAATTTTATAAAAAGTGTCTTTTAAATATCTAAAAAAAAATTCAAATATCCATGAAAGATAGAATGGGATCCTTTCAAAATCAGGACTTCCGTTAATTATGCGTATGTTTTGGTTGCTGGCTTACTCTCTGCAAATACAGTGCAGGGAATGCTTCCAACAGAAATCAGTTTTCCACTTTTTCCCATTTGAATGGAAAGTACATTAGGGATTAGGCCATATATTTTATGAAATTATGGATATATGTGTGCATTTCTAAGAAGAAGTTTGAGGCAGAAGCATTCAATGATTTTTACTTGCTTGCTATACAACATATACGACGCCATCAGATCCACGTTATGACGCATCCCAACTTTTTAACGCAGTTTTTGCGGGGGGTAAACATAAGTCTTATATTCGAGTGAATAAATTACAGTGAATTGGGAAAGCTGTGCCCAACGCGTTTTTTTTTGTAAGTCCTTTTGCACCGTTTTACTTCTTTGTCTAGTTTTCAACTAGTCCACGAGGGTGGTTTGAAGCACTAGGTCTGTTTCTCCGCTAAGGGAATAGGGACGACTTATGCGCTGTCTATCTCATTTGACTTTCCCGTACTTGCGTAAAAAGACGCTTCAAACGTGCCTTGCACAAAATCACCTAGTACGTGAGGAAGACTTTAAAAAAAATACCAAGAGGTGTTTTATTTTTCTGCTGAAAAAAAAAAAAAGAAGAAGACCCGTTTTTCCGGCTCTTCCCGCGGGATGAGTTACGCGCTCTCGGGCTTTGCGTAATCCTCACATGCACCTTTATCAGGGCAACGGGATGGGTACTATAGCAGGGAATAAACGGGGTTTCCTTTCTTTTTGTCTCCACGCAGCAATGTGATTTCTCTTCGGGAGCAATGAGTTCACCGGAAATGCATTTACTTTCTCGCTCACTTTAAAAAAGAAAATCGACAGAGAATCGCGTCGTAGAGTCACTCACAATTTCCAACTTGGTGTTTTTCCTGAAGGAAAACTGCCGAGGAACGACTGATGAAGTCATCTGGAAAAAAAAATCGATTGATTCTGCCGTAGGCGGGAGTCGGAGAAATCCTTTTGACAAAAGTCATCCTCTGTAATTGGAAAGAGATTGGAAAATAAAAATGAAAATTTTCGAGGGATATTTAGACGCAGTGCGTGTACGAGCAAATCAGTGTTCTATCTTCGAAAAATTTCTAGGAAGATCTCCCACGTAAACAGCATATTTATTTGGCCAATCGGCAACCTTTTGTCACATCAAAAAATTGGCTCAGAAATAGTGATGCGATCTTTGCTTATTGTGAAAATCGAGTATGGGCCGAACTTTCTCAGCCCTCGAAAGGCAAATCCTGAAAATTTTCCTAAAATTCTTGGCAAAATGATTCGAAAAAAGATATGCAGAAATGTAATTGATTCATCATGCAATGGAAAAAACCCTGCGCATCCAAGAGTTCAATTTTGATTAATACGGATGCATTTGCAACAATATCTCAAATTTGTGCTGCTTCAAATTTGAAAGATAGATTTTTTTTATAAATCACCAAGCAGTTGCTCAATTGGCGATCTCCTGACTGTTACTCAAAAGGTTACGAACTTCCATTGTAACATCATGTCGAGAGTTTGAAAACCCCTTATAGTAAAAATATCTCCACACCAATGCATTTTCAAATTCCTGCATATTGCTGGACACAATTTTTCTGTGAAATCTTGAAAGGTTCTGGCACAGAACCGTCTATATTTCTCGTGGTGGGGCCTACGGCGAAGTATAAGTTTTAAATTCCAACGTTTTCAAAAAGTGAGCAATTCTTTTGTTCCGTTGTGAATGCTGTTGCGCCAGTGACGAACCCTGGAGCATGGAATTTGACCATCAATGGGTGCTTCAAAAGATTTGACACCGTTTGCTTGGTATGATCCTTCAACAATTTATAAAATTATTCACTATTAGAGTGTTTGAAGTTCTCGACACTGATTCTTCATATTTTTAACGAAAGTACCGCAGGGAAAGTACCTAATTGAAGCTTCAACATGAATGTGGTGCGCGAATATTTATTGTACCTGTAAATATTCCGAAAACTACTTTGGAAACAATAAAAGATCACTCTGGCTGGTATTGACAACCGTGGTTCTTCCTTCACATTTCTCCTAAAATTATTCAAAATTGTGTGGCAACTTTCCTCTGAAAGCGGAAAAGAGGTTTTCTGCGTAAAGCTTTCAGAATACTACGGGATTAATATTGGCTTACGACAGGCATTTATGGCCACCGAAGATAACTCATTTCTAAGTGGTAAGGAAAAAAAGTTTTCATAATTCAACCTAATTTAAAAAAAGCTTAATTCAGACGAATGGCCGAAAAATGGCGGAAACAATTGGTAAGCGTTTCCTCAATGTGAGAGAATCGTGGGCAAAATCAGGAAGATGGAGAGCTCATGAACTTTGATACCAAGTGTTGCCAGGATTAGACGATGTTCTCATTATGAGAGAGAGAGAGAGAGAGAGAGAGAGAGAGAGAGAGAGAGAGAGAGAGAATATTCAAGATGAAATCATCTATTATCTCGAAAAAGAGAAGTGTGAGAGAGAGAGAGAGAGAGAGAGAGAGAGAGAGAGAGAGAAAGAAAGAAAGAAAGAAAGAAAGAAAGAAAGAGAGAGACCGAGGAATGCATAAAATTACATGCAATTTTTTTGCGTTCATAACATTTCTTTCAATATTGAACAGCTGCTTAAATCTGGAGAGATTAAATGAGAGAGTATGTATATACGTGTGTTTCTTGAAGAGGAACTATTTAAACTTCAACAGCATTTTAGGCAGCATATTGAAAATTAAATTAAATACGACTGCAGCGGAACTTTTTGCAAAGAAACGATGAAAACAAGTTGTGATGGAAAAAGTTGACAATTCCTGATTCGAGCGTTCAAGTTCAAAACAAATTTTTGATCATGCCATCATTCGCACAACAACGAAAAGTTTCCAAATTATTCCTTTTTATACAGTAGTAACATTAGAGTGTCTTTACTTTTCGTCTATAGATATGATGCAATTTTTAAAATGACCGTATGACACCCATGAATTTTTAAATTTCTTCCACAAAATTTTAAATCGCGAAGCTGTTCGAAAGAAAAATTTCATGAAGAATTTCATGAAAATGTTTTGTGTTCAGAACATAATTGTAGAAGTTATGAGAAACAAATCGCTACTTATTGAAACAAGCAACCTTGATAAAGTACACAGCACGCCAGTTCGTTAGAAAGACCATTCCTGATCCACGGAAGCTTCACAAGCACTTTTTATATGGCTCTGCTATCAGGTCCATCCAATTAATTGGGAAAGGCTTTTCGAAATATTGACTTTGATATTGACCTTAGAAGATCTTGTACCATGTACGCATATACTCATTCGGATGAAAGTGTTCGTGAATCCGAAATGCTATAGGAACCTTTATCTGACGCACTCAGTGCCTGGAGACGCGAGAAAAGAGCTTCCCGATAAACCTCATCCCGCTGGGGGAAATTCCCTGGATTTCTAGAACAGCGGCAGTCTTATGAGCAAGTCTGCGCGAAAGCCGCTTTTCCTCCGACGACCAACTGCATCCCACCGACTTCTCAATTCTTCCTTCGTGCCGAAACTCGAGACTTTATTGGCAGAAAAAGATTTTCTGCGCGACGCGGGTCACACCGCTTCACGTTATTCAGGTGGCAACGTGTCAATCGAGGACGTACAGTGGGTCCCAGGAAAATTAAAGACACCTGCAGAAGAAAAATCGCAGAAAAATAATCACTCAACTGCAGAAAAGAATACTCGCAACCTGATTTTGTTTCATACTGTGTTTAGTTTGAATGGAAATCACGCGAATTTTATTACGTTTTGTGGTTGTTGCTCTTTTTAAACCAGCTTTTCGTGGTTTAACAGTTTCGCTTTTTATTGTTCCATAACAACGGTTCTTTATTGTTGGAAAGTCGGAAATTGTTGTCAAGGTTCAGTAAAACTACTAAAATACACATCTTTCTGATGAGGTACATCGAGGATAGATATCTGCGAGTGCTGTCGGGAATTGGTTGATTATTTTCCCATTTGACCTTGAGGGTAATCAAGGTTCATTGCATAAAATCTTGAAACGAATTACAGGTATTTGGGGATTTTCGCGCGAGTTTGAAATTGGTTGAGCATTTTTCCATCAGAACTTTAGATAAATCAACATTCGCTTAGCAAAACTCACCCTGAAACGGATTATTTTCATTATGTAGGATCCCGATTTACAAAGTTTTAAGCGTTTTATATTTTTAAAAGTAAAATTACACCTTGGTTACCGCCTGAATATATCTGTTCACAGAATACTATTAATTTGCAATCGCGGTGCTCGGTCCATGCATAACAAAACTAATCCGT